AGATCTGTCAACGGAAAAACGACCTGGATCCAGGATTTAATCCTGGACGAACGGGCAGATCTGGCGTGCATCACGGAGACCTGGCTGGATGAAGCTGGAGGAGTAAATCTGACCCAGCTTTGTCCTCCGGGTTTCTCCGTGCAGCACCAACCTAGATCTGGAGGGCGGGGAGGCGGGGTTGCAGTGGTCTATAGGGATTCCATCCATCTGACCAGGTGCCCCATCCCGCAGACCGCAAATTTCGAAAGCGTCTACCTGAGGGTGGGTGACCGGGACAGTATAGGGATTCTTGTAGTGTACCGTCCACCTCGCTGCGCTACAGTCTCCCTACCTGAGCTAGCGGGGGTGGTCTCGAGCCTGGCGTTGAAGTCTCAACGGCTTCTTGTGCTGGGAGACTTCAACGTCCATGCCGAGACGACCCTCACAGGCGCGGCTCAGGACTTCATGTCTGCCATGGCAACCATGGGGCTGTCCCAACAAATATCTGGCCCCACCCACTGTGCTGGACACACATTGGATTTGGTTTTCTGCCAGGGATGGGAGCAGGGTGGCGGTGTGGAGGAGTTGTCCATCTCTCCGTTGCCATGGACCGACCACTTCCTGATCAGATTTAGGCTCACTGCACCCCCTAACCTCTGCAAAGGTGGAGGACCCATTAAGATGGTCCGCCCCAGGAGACTGATGGATCCGAATGGATTCCTGACGGCTCTTGGGGATTTTCCCGCCACCTCGGTAGGTGACCATGTCGAGGCCTTGGTGGCTCTCTGGAATGGGGAGATGACCAGGGCTATTGACATGATCGCTCCGGAACGTCCCCTCTCAAGTAGCCGAGCTAAACCAGCCCCTTGGTTTACTGAGGAGCTGGCAGCTATGAAGCGAAGGAAGAGGGAACTAGAGAGCGTGTGGCGTTCGGAACCGAGCGAGTCAAACCGAACACGGTTTGTGTCCTTTCTTAGGGCATATGCCGCGGCAATAAAGACCGCAAAGAAAACTTTCTTTGCGGCCACTATTGCGTCTGCAAAGAACCGTCCGGCGGAGTTGTTTCGGATTGTCAGAGGCCTTTTAAATCCCGCCACTTTAGGCGGGAGCCCTGACAATTCGGTCACGCGCTGTGAAGCATTTGCTCGGTTCTTCGCAGACAAAGTCGCCTTGATCCGTTCTGGGCTGGACGCCGCGTTAGATGCAGATCCTGTGGATGTAACGAGAGCACCTGCTTGTCCTATTTTGTTGGATTCTTTTCAGTTTGTGAAACCCGAGGATGTGGACAAGATACTTGGAGGAATGAGGCCCACCACGTCCATCCTAGACCCCTGCCCATCCTGGCTTCTGAGAGAGGCCAGAGGGGGATTGGCCGAGTGGGTAACAGTGGTGGTAAATGCCTCCCTTCGGGAAGGCAAGATTCCAGCGAGCCTAAAACAGGCTATCATAAAGCCGCTGTTGAAGAAGCCATCACTGGACCCCACTAAATTGGACAACTTTCGGCCTGTTTCCAATCTTCCCTTCTTGGGCAAAGTCATGGAAAGCGTGGTGGCCTCACAACTCCAGGTATTCTTGAGAGACACGGATTATCTGGATCCGGCACAGTCTGGTTTCAGACCGGGACATGGTACCGAGACGGTCTTGGTCGCCTTAGTGGATGATCTGCGCCGGGAGCTAGACAGGGGGAGTGTGTCCCTGTTGGTGCTCCTGGACCTCTCAGCGGCCTTCGATACCGTCGACCACGGTATCCTTCTGGGGCGCCTTGCGGAAATGGGTCTTGGGGGCATTGCTCTGCAGTGGCTCCAGTCATTTCTGGAGGGTCGCACCCAGAAGGTGTTGTTGGGGGACTCCTGTTCCACACCACAACCTTTGACTTGTGGGGTGCCACAGGGTTCCATACTGTCCCCCATGCTGTTTAATATCTACATGAAGCCGCTGGGTGAGATCATCCGGAGTTTCGGGGTGCGGTGTCATCTGTACGCAGATGATGTCCAACTCTGTCACTCCTTTCCACCTGCTACTAAGGAGGCTGTCGAGGTCCTGAACCGGTGCCTGGCCGCTGTAACGGTCTGGATGAGGGCGAACAAACTGAAACTAAATCCAGACAAGACAGAGGTACTCCTGGTCAGTCGCAAGGCCGAACGGGATATAGGGTTACAGCCTGTGCTGGATGGGGTCGCACTCCCCTTGAAGGCGCAGGTTCGCAGCTTGGGTGTGACCCTGGATTCATCGCTGAGCCTGGATCCCCAGGTGTCAGCGGTGACCAGGGGAGCATTTGCACAGCTTAGGCTCGTGCGCCAGCTGCGCCCGTATCTCGGGAAGTCTGACTTGGCCACGGTGGTACACGCTCTGGTCACATCCCGCCTTGACTACTGCAACGCTCTCTACGTGGGGCTGCCCTTGAAGACGGCCCGGAAGCTTCAGCTAGTCCAGCGTGCGGCAGCCATGTTACTAACTGGAGCGGGACGCAGGGAGCACACAACGCCCTTGCTGTCCCAGCTCCACTGGCTGCCGATCTGCTACCGGACCCAATTTAAGGTGCTGGTTTTGGCCTACAAAGCCCTAAACGGTTCCGGCCCAAAATACCTTGCTGCCCGCATCTTGGCCTACGAGCCCACGAGGACCTTGAGATCGTCTGGGGAGGCCCTTCTCTCGATCCCGCCTGCATCACAGGCACGGCTGGCGGGGACGAGAGAGAGGGCCTTCTCGGTGGTGGCCCCCCGGCTGTGGAACACTCTCCCGGCACACATTAGACAGGCGCCCTCCCTCATGTCCTTTCGAAAAAGCCTTAAGACCTGGCTGTTCGAGAGGGCATTTAATTAAGTGCTAGCAATGTCATTACGGTAATGAGAATTGGAATGGTATAAGGACGAGGAGACTGGCCTACGATTCTACTAAGAGACGAAGCGGATTTTTATGTAGTTTGTATTGTTGTATTGTGTGTATTGTGGATATTGGCTTTTGTAACTGTCTTTTTACGTGTACTGTACACCGCCATGAGTCGCCCGTAAGGGCTGAGAATGGCGGTTAATAAGTGCATCTAATAAATAATAAATAATAAATAAAATCAGATTCAGCCCAAGAGGAAAATGATGCCTGTCTCCAAAGTTTATCACCAACATGAGATGTTGGGAAAGTTCTGTCTTAGGGCCACCCTACATCAAAAATGACTTGGAGGCGCATAAACAGCAAAGTATAACAACCTGGAACATACACACACACACGCGCGCGTGTATAATAAAAAAATAACGCATTGCCGAATGGGGTCATGACTCTACAATATCTATCCTTAACAATATCTATCAAGAGACATATCTATCTGCTTTGCAAGTTACATTTATAGGGTGTACGTGCTGAAATGCAGCATGTTAAGAAGCCTTAAAGAAAGGAGGCCCCAGCATGAGGCCACATTGGCTTTTCTGCCAGCGCTGTATAGGAAATTGGAAACAATGATTTCCTTTCCCTCCTCCAGCCCCTTTTCTGTTCCAAAATAGAGGATGAAATTCCTGGCGATTCTAGGAAATCGTAACACATACTTCATGGGTAAGCAATGAACAAAAATTGGGCTTTTGGCCCAGTAGAATGACAGAGCATTTCCAGTTCGGGAGAAGGAACTGGGAAACAAGGCTGCTGCTTCCAAATCCAAATTCCAAAGGCATGGAGGAACTATCCCCACTTTTCCTCTCTTTGTCAGTTGTCTGTATGGAAAGAAGATGACTGTGGCAGGAAACAAACAAAGGCTGACAATGTTTGAAGTTTGAACGCCCTGTAAAATTCCATAAATGGGGGAAGGCAACTGGATCCTAAAGCTCTTACAGTTGACCGCCCCCTATCCCCACCACACTTTCCATAGATTTTACATCTATATGTTTAACAAACTCTGACACAAAAATATTTGAGGAGAAATTGCAAATATCATACCTTGATTTTGCCTTGTACCAAGCATTATGCTGAATGTCACATTGAGGAGGGGTCAAGTTTGTTTTCTGCTGCTCTGGAGACTAAGGGCCCTTCCACACAGGCCTATATCCCAGAATATCAAGGCAGAAAATCCCACATTATCTGAATGTGGACTCAGATAACCCAGTTCAAAGTACATATTGTGGGATTTTCTGCCTTGATATTCTGGGATATAGGAAGGTGCGGAAGGACCCTGTGCGGAAGGACCCTGGGACACAATGGAGCAATGGATTCAAACTGCAGGAAGAAAAATTCACTTACACATTAGGTTCTGGCCATCTGCTGGGAGTGCTTTGATTGTGTTCCTGCATGTCAGGGGATTGGAGTGGATGGACCTTAAAGTCTGTTCCTGTAACTCTATTATTTCTATGGGCCCTTCCACACTGCCCTATATCCCAGAATATCATGGCAGAAAATCCCACAATACCTGCTTTGAACTGGGTTATCTGAGTCCACACTGCCAAATAATTTCCAGTTCAAAGCAGAAAATGTGGGATTTTATTCAGTTGTGTAGAAGGGGCCTATGAAAACACCGGAAACCTTCGCCTTGAGTGCTTTTCTGCATGTACACACATGTCCTGAAAGGCAAGGATAAATTAAAATAATACACGGCTGCCTACTTGATAAAGATTGTGAGCCCATATTGTTGCCATGTTTGGATTAATTCAGTCCTCCCTGTAACAGATTTCTGGGGAACAGGATCCCAGCATCTTGAGAGCAGCGAGGCCCAGTGGTTTGAGCGTCCGACTATGGGTGCCTCTACACTGTAGAATTAACGCAGTTTGACACCACTTTAGCAGCCGGAATCGTGGGAGCTGTCGGTTTGCAAGTTCTTTACTCTTCTCTGCCAAAGAGGGCCAAACTACAGCTTCTAAGAATCCTCAGCATTGAGCCATAGCACTTAAAAGGCTGTCGTACTGTATTTATGTCAACATTGGCTCACCTGGAGGAAGAAATGGACAAAGCACAGCTCCTCCTTCCCTCCCTCATTGGTTCCGTTCCTTCCCCCTCTTTCCTGATAGGCTAAGACCTCTGTCTATCACTCCAATAGCCCGCCTTATTTGGCGCGCCTTCTGTCTGCGCTGGGGAAGCCCTAGAGGTGCTGTGGTCTTAAAGGGCCAGGCGCGCCTTTTGCGCCCTGTCCTTCTCTTCCTGAGGCTTCGAAGAAGGAGCGCTTCCTGCAGCCATGCGCTCCATCAGAGCCGTGTCCAGGCTGTGGCAGCCTCGCCGGGGGACCCAGGGCCAGTGGGGACAAGGAGCGGGGCTCCCCGGGGTCTCCTCCTGGACTCTGGGCAGAGAGGCGGTGGTGAATGGCCGGCACCATTTGCAGCAGCCACAGCAGCCCATGCCCGACCAGTAAGGGATGCACCACCCATGAGCCACCCTCTGTCGTGCTGTCATGCTGTCTCCATACCTGATGTGTCATGCTATCTCCATATCTGATGCGTGTGTCTGCGTGTGTCTATGGGGGCATCTACACTAGAGAATGGATGCACTTTGACACCACTTTACCTGCTTTGGTATCCTGGGAGAGTTGTAGTTGGTGAGGCCCGGGCTCTCCTATGCATAGAAGGCTAAAGACCTCCTAAAACTACAACTCCTGGGATTCCATAGCATTGTGCCATGATAATTAGAGTGGGGTCAAACGGAGGCCCCTTCTACACTGCCATATAATCAGGATTATCAAATCAGATAATCCACATTATTTGATTTGAACTAGATTATATGAGTCTACACTGTCATATAATCCGATTCAAATCAGATAATCTGCATTTTGTGGCAGTATAGAAGGGGCCTGCATTCATTATCCACTGTAGATGCAGCCTTGGATATTGGGAAGACTAAAGAAGATACTGTTAGTGCTGATTTTACTTTCCTATGTCGATTTCTAACCTTTTCTTCCTGGTGGCGGTGGCTTTACATCCTGTGTGGTGAAGCCAAAACTGAAGAAGCCCTGCTTCAACACAACTACATTGTCCACATTGGAAAAAGGACAACCTGAGCCCCGGCAACTCAATCCAGAAAAGGGAGTATTTGGGGGAATCAGTGGGAGGTTTCCCTCCAATATTCCTTGGTGTGGATGTTTGGGGACCTGTCACAGGGGGTTCTGTCACAATCCAAAATAATTGTGTAGTAAATCCCTTTTGAGACCCTTTACCACCACTCTATAGAAAATTGATTTCTTTCTATGGTGCAACCCATTGTTTGCATTAGTGAACTTTTCCTTAGGCCCTTCTACACTGCCATATAGATTTTTTTTCATGTCAGGAGTGACTTGAGAAACTGTAAGTCACTTCTGGTATGAGAGAATTGGCTGTCTGCAAAGACGTTGCCCAGGAGATGCTCTGATGTTTTGATATTTTATCATCCTTGTGGGAGGCTTCTCTCATGACCCCGCATGGAGAGCTGGAGCTGACAGAGGGAGCTCACCCGTGCTCTCCCCGGATTCGAACCTGTCAGTCTTCAGTCCTGCTAGCACAAGGGTTTAACCCACTGCGCCACCGAGGGCTCCAACACTGCCATAAGAAGAGTGATGAGAGAGGGGGCCAGGGGACAGTTCCACCTTATCTCCTGTGCTATGCTAATAATATAATATAATATATTGTATATACATATAATATTTATAATATTATAATGTAATGCAATATAATACTATTACTAATAATGATACTATAATTATATATTTATATTACATGTTCTGGCCCAACTTACCTGTCCGAACGCATCTCCTCCTATGAACCAGCTAGGGTGTTAAGATCATCTGGGGAGGCTCTGCTCTCAGTCCCGCCTGCGTCACAAGTACGTTTGGCAGGGACGAGAGACAGGGCCTTCTCAGTGGTGGCCCCTCAGCTATGGAACACCCTCCCTAGGGATGGGTGCTTTGAATCAGGCCCGAAGCGAGGGGGGGTTTAGGGGTTCAACCCCCCCCCCGAAATGTTTCAGATTTTTTTAAAAAACCTGGTTTACTCATGAATTTTAACTGGTTAACCAAATCCCCATGCTAAGTTTATGAGATGCAAAAAATTAAGAGTCCCTCCAGAACTGCAAGCACTATCTCAAGCAAATATTGACAATTTATTCACACTGTCATTACTTGCAGCAATAGCCGATGTGAAGCAACCAAGTTGGGGGGGTGTTGAATGCTCTCATTAAGGAGGCCAGACTTGGTGGAGGTGGTTGACAGGGCGGAGCTGCAGGCTATTGAAGGCTGCTCTGCCCCTGCTGTGCTCTTTGCTTTCGTCAGCTAGGAGGCAGGTTTCAACACCCCCCCCCCCCGAAATTTTCAACACTCCCCAAAATTTTCAAACCCCCTCCCCAAAATTTTCAAACCCCCTCCCCAAAATTTTCAACCCCCCCCCGGCCGAAATTGTCAACCCTCCCCAAAAATTTTTTCTGGCTACGGCCCTGCTGTTGACATTTCGGAGGAAAGTGAAGACCTGGTTGTTCGATCAGGCATTTGATTAGGCAGTGTAACGAACATAGGAATATAGAACAATTGAATGATGAGACTAGATCTTGATTTTAACTATGAGATGCTAATGAGATGTTTTATTGAATTATATTGACGGTTTATTATGCTACTGTTTTACTTTTAACTGTTTTATGATGTTTTTGAGCATTGAATTTTGCTATTGTTAATCGCTCTGAGTCGCCTGAGGGCAGAGAAGAGCGGTATACAAATATAGTAAATAAATAAATAATAAATATAGTACAATATAGTAACATTTATTACTGATATTGTACTATGCTAATAATATAGTATATTGTATGTATATATATCTTGTAAGCCGCTCTCAGTCCCCTTCAGGGTGAGAAGGGCGACATATAAATATCAATAAATAAATAAATAAATAAATATAAAATCCAGATTATCTGCACACAGCCATATAATCTAGAATATAAAGGCAGAATAATCCACAATATCTGCTTTGAACTGGATTATCTGCACCCACAGTGCCAAATATTCCAGTTCAAAGCAGAAAATGTGGGATTTTATTCAGCTGTGTAGCAGGGGCCTTGTTTTCTGCTGCTCTGTAGACTATTAGGCTTCAAACTACAGAAAAAGTCACTTCTAAATTTTCTAACAGTAAGAGCTGCTTGGCAGTGGAATATGCTGCTACCTCAAAGGATGATGGTGTCTCCTTCTCTTGAGGTTTTTAAGCAGCGGCTGGATGGCCATCTGTCAGGAGTGCTTTGATTGTGCATTCCTGCATGGCAGAAGGGGATCAGACTGGATGGTCTCTTCTAACTCTATGATTGCATGAGATATTCTTATCATTCTGAAGGGAGCTAGTAAGCCAGCAATAGTGTGATGTGCTAGTAAATAAAACATCCATTATAATCTTGAATTATGACAGACATCAGAATTTGACCTGGGTATGTTTTCACAACATTAGAATTTTCCATTCTGTGCAGGAACAGAGAAGATAAGATGCCTGAGATTAAAACCTCCAGAGATGCGCATGAAGAGAGTCACTTTCTTGGCGGCTGATAGCTTTTGGCATATTTTTAGAGTATGAGACATCTTAAAAAATGCTAAGCATCTCTCCAGTTATACTCGTCTAACTGGATATTACTGGTGCTATTCCCTTAAGAAATACTGGCTTCCATGGGTACATCCCCTTGATGGCAGGCTTGGTTCCAATTTTTTTTAAAAAAAGGATAAAAGAAAGAGAAATCCCTCAAGCTTTGGTGGTACTTTGCAGCTTAGGGCCCTTCCAGACATACCCTATATCCCAGGATCTGATCCCAGGTTTTCTGTTTATTCCAGATTATCTGACAGTGTGGACTCATATAATCCAGTTTAAAGCAGAAAACCTGGGATCAGATCCTGGGATATAGGGCCCCTTAGAGTTTGTTTCAATATTCAAGGAATATATAAAAAGATTAAGTTATTGTAGGGAAAATCTGTTTACCAGATATTTTCAAAGGAAAGTCATATATATTTCACTCAAAAATTGTTTTCCCAAAATTTAACAGAAAACTCATTTTTTTCATAGTCTCTAACTATTTGATATACCATATATTAATTTCTATTCCCATCTTTCTGATTTGGTAGATTCAGGACAGACAATAGGAAATGCAAGTGTATATTTACATGAAGATTGTTTTGTGGCAAGCTGTTGTCTGTTCAAGGAATAGTTTTTGATCCAGATGCACATGATAACAATGGAGTGAGCTTTTCTCACTGATTGTTTCTCACATTGCTTTTGTTCAAGTCAAAAATTATAATTCCAGGGCCAAAAAAAAATCAATCACTGACTCCTTATCACATTTGTTGGACTTTCACTGAATTATCTTTTAGGTGATGCCCTCCAGCTATTTAGAGGTAAGGAGTCCATTTAAATCAGGCATGGGCAAACTTTGGCCCTCCAGGTGTTTGGACTTAAATTGTGGGAGTTGAAGTTCAAAACACCCAGAGAGCCGAAGTTTGCCCATGCGTGATTAAAATGGTCTGTTGTTCAGTAGTGTGGTCCATCAGGCTTAGGAACTTGTATTTACAAGCTTTCTTCTCCTTTGTACATCGACCCAAGGGTACAACTCATCGAATATATAATTATGACTAAAGATATACGAGAGGAATTTATTCCTTGGGGCTGCATACAAAAGGCAAGATAACAGGTGATGTGCATGTGACTGACCATAATATCAGACACATGGCAATAGTGATATGCCCAGATTCCTTTCCAAGTAAGTGGAGGATATCACCTAAACTTTAAGTTAGTGAAAGCCAAGCAAATTTAGCAATGAGTTAGTGCTTTTTTTATTTTTAAGTGGTCTGGAATTATAGTTTTTATCTTGGCAAACCTGGATTAGTTTTGAGGAAAAGGCAAGAAATGGTGTTAGTAAGATAAACAAGATTCAATTCTGGGTAATTTTCAGAGCTTGGAAAATAAATTGATTTGCAGCAAAGCCTCTCCATTTGTTGAAAAGCTCTGGTCAAAAAAAACTTTTGGAAAACTGAAGTTGGGAACCCTTGATCTAGGGGCCCTTTCACACAGCCCTATATCCCAGAATATCGAGGCAGAAAATCTCACAATATCTGCTTTGAACTGGGTTATCTGAGCCCACACTCAGATAATGTGGGATTTTCTGGGATATAGGGTTTTGTGGAAGGGCCCTAGGATTCTGTATATAGCGACAGTAACAATCTAGATTGGAGCATGAGGGCAGAGTTAACCCTATCTCAGGGCCCTTCCACACAGCTGTTTAACCCAGAATATCAAGGCAAATAATCCACAATATCTGCTTTGAACTGGATATAATACAAGTCAATGTGGCTTTCATATAGCTGTGTGGAAGGAGCCTCAGGCATGAAGTTTAAGTTATTATGAAAGGACAGCAAATTGCTTAATGTGTCTAATTTATTATTTTATTATCAGGGAAAGCGAGAGTTTCTCGTGTGTGGTTTTCTGCTTAATGTGCCAGAATAACTTGACAAACTTTGTATATTATGCACATTAAGGGGGAAGAATAATAGAATCACAAAGTTGGAAGAGACTACAAGAACTATCCAATCCAACCCCTGTGCCATGCTGGAAAATACAATCAAAGCACCCCTGACAGATGGCCATCCAGCCTCTGCTTAAAAACCTCTAGAGAAAGAGACTCCACTATGCTCTGAGACAGCAACATATTCCACCACTAAAAAGTTCTTACCATCAGGAAGTTCTTACCATCAATTTGTGTGTCTATTGGCATCTCTATCCATGTCTCCTCAGGGCCAGCCCTAAATAAAGTGGACTGTTTGCAGTTTTATTCACAACTCTGCACTCATCTCAGTTATTCATCTCAAACCATGTATAAATATATGAGGAGAAATCATAGGGAGGAGGGAGGGAGCTCCCTGCTGCCCTGGAGACTAGGATGCGGAACAATGGTTTCAAATTACAGGAAAGGAGATTCCACCTGAACAGGAAAAGAACTTCCTGACTCTGAGAGCTGTTCAGCAGTGGAACTCTCTGCCCCGGAGTGTGGTGGAGGCTCCTTCTTTGGAGGCTTTTAAGCAGAGGCTGGATGACCATCTGTCGGGGGTGTTTTGAATGCGATTTTCCTGCTTCTTGGGATTGAACTGGATGGTCCACCAGGTCTCTTCCAACTCGATAATTCTATGATTCTATTCCATGTTTTGAGGCAAACGTCAACATTTGGCAAAGTTTTTTTTTCCCCCAGCTACTATTTCCATGAGGTGGAATTTTGGGAATGGTTGAAAGGGGAGAGGGAACCCAGTAAGTGTGAAATTATGCTGCTTGCAAAGGACATGTTTCCTGGCTCTTTCCATAGCAAAATGCTTTAGCTTGCTCTTTCAGTGTTTTCCACTTCTTTTCCTGGCCAATAGATACAGACTTCCTATCCAACCCTTTACTGTAAAACTCTTGGAGAGGTTGTCTGTACCTGCAAAGCAGTAGGAAAATGTTCTAAAAGAAGTGTTTTTGGATGCACTCCATCGTGACTCTCTTCTCTTCCTAGGGATCTGTCTGCAAACGGGATGCTGCCCCGTCTCAGTGACCTTCTGTTCTACACAGTCGCCGAGGGACAGGAGAGCATTTCTGTCCATAAATTCATCAGTGTAAGAACTGAACAGTCTTAATGAGTGAAGTGGGAAAGGTGGAATGGACTTGTTCACTTATGATTTATTCATTGGATCTATAGCCCATCCTTCTGCCAGAATGGGGCTTGTAAATCCTTTTACTGTTTAGACAATGTTGGAAAACGATTAGTCTGATGTCAGATTTCTTTCTCTTGCAATAAATGGTTGTGTTTTTTTTTTAAATAGCCAAATACTTTTTTAATGTCCTAAGAACTGGATTCATGTGGGGTTTCAAGAATTTATTAACATGCCCCTTTTCACGTGGAATTTTCTTGTACTTTTGAAAGGTGTTTTCCATCAAAATGGCCCAACTTGATAGCTGTTTACTTAAAAGACAGAACACGGCAACCCAAATTGGGATCTGTTGCCATGTGCACAATACCACTCGCGAAATTATATGACTAATCTAAAGCAGTACAACCCCTGTACCCATGGGACCCATAGCCACATTTCCCTAATTTGCACCCACTGTTTCCCTTATTTGCATATTTTAGAGGCTCTCCAAGTCACTCTACAGTATACTTCAGCTGGAAGTTTTGATGGAGTCACCCCGGAGGACCTAGCAAATTCCTTGAGAGGATAGCTCTCTAGGAATTTCCTAGGCCTTTCAGGGCAACTATGTAGTAAGTTCTGTTGTAGATTTTTTCGGGCTATATGGCCATGTTCTAGAGGCATTCCCTCCTGATGTTTCGCCTGCATCTATGGCAAGCATCCTCAGAGGTAGTGAGGTGGTATTATATTATATTATATAAGGTATTATATTTAGCTATTTTAGTGCTACATGAAAATCTTACTCCAATTACTAGAAAATCACAAAGATGAAGACTGACGCAAGATAACTTGTACATATACACAGCTTTTGGAGTGCAAATATTAAGATATTTTGTCAGTTACAAAGGGCACATATTCCAGTTTTTGTCTTTAAAGTTTATTCACAGACATCACGTGATAAAGGATTGGCACTTGATTCTTTTTTTCCTATCAAATAAGAGTCATTTCATGACTGGTATGTTCCTATATGTCTGGGCATCAGGAGCTCACACAATGCCAGGATCTCACAAGCAGTTTCAATGCAATCATGGCATATAATTTTATAGTACAAAAGCACCCTCTTATCCCACTTGTCCAATGCTGGGTGCTATAGCTCCATTGCCTTGCGTTCATCCAAGTCTTCCTCTTCTCAATTCAGGCTTTGCAAGGCACTGGCCTTTGGACCTCAGACCCCCGCCTCCGTGACTGCATGGATCTGATGTGGAAAGCAGCTCAGGACGCCAGCACTGGAGGGACTCTGAACAGGGAGCTTTTTCAGAGGTGTGAGTCACAGCTGGATGGATTGCACTGTTGCTATGGTTCAGACTTTGGCTGTAGGAATAGCAATTCTCCATTACTAGCAGCTTCAATCCTCCCACTGATCTTCTTCCCATTCCCTTCCCCTATTGCTCTTTCTCTCACCTCTCTTTTCTAACTGATTGTTTATTTCTTCCCACTTTGGTACTTGTTCAGCCTTTCTCTTTGCTTACTTCTCTTTTTTCTCTTACCAAGTTGAATGGCCTTCTCTCTCCGCTGTGCTTTCTCAATCCCCATTCTGTTCTATGGGGAGGACAAAATGAAGTCTGTCTTCTAATATTAAAATATCCTTCCTTTCCCAAATGTTTAGCATTGCGGTAACTGAAAACCCCACCTGAGTATTTAGAAATAGAGTTTAGACATCCAAAGAAAAAGGAGCAGGCAAGGAAGCCAAGGGAATGCGGACACAGCAGGTGTAAGAGTGAACTATTTTTGGTGTATCATTCTCTGCAGAGCTATAAATTTAGGGACTGAAGAAAATTTCTTCCATCCCTGTAGCTATGCTCCTATTTGGGATATCTGTCTGCTAGTGACTGCAGACAGATGTAAACTATTGTAACTGAAACCAGGGCTCCCTGGTGGCCCAGCGGGTTGAACCGCTGAGCTGCTGAACTTGCTGACAGAAAGTTGGCGGTTCAAATCCGGGGAGCAGAGTAAGCTCCCACTGTTAGCCCCAGTTTCTACCAACCTAGCAGTTCGAAAACATGCAAATGTGAGTAGTTCAATAGGTACTGCTTCGGTGGGAAGGTAACAGCACTCCATGCAGTCATGCTGGCCACATGACCTTGGGGGCATCTATGGACCACACTGGCTCTCCAGCTTACAAAAAGGAGATGAGCACCACACTCCAGAGTTGGACACGCCTATACTTAATGTCAAGGGAAACCTTTACCTTTACCTAACTAAAATTACTTCATCCTTTCAAAGATGCATGTGCTGAGATTCTGTACTATGTAAGCCAAATTTATGGTCTTGAACTATGTTGGAGATTGAAACAAAGAAGCACTCATCCTCTGTTCTTGTTATAGGCATTAATATTTGAAGGCAAAGCCAGCCTCCCATCTCCATGATCAATCCCATGGCACTTGTATTCTTTTAAACATTTTTTCTCTCCTACTGATAACAGGTTTTTACTGGGGGCTCAGACAACATCATCTTCCACTTATAATCTTCCCACATTTTCTCATTTCTTATTCCATCTACTTTCTGATGAAAAAAATCAATTCCTACCTTCACATGAACATGCCAGCACTCTCCCCTATGGCATCTAGTTCATCTTGACCATATTCTTAGTCATGCAGCTCCAACCTATCTTCAAGACCGCATCTCTTTCTATGAACCGGCATGGGCTTTGAGATTGACAGAGGAGGCTCTTTTCTCAGTCCTACCACCATCTCAAGCATGGTTGGTGGGAACGAAAGAGAGGACCTTCTCTGTGGTAGGTCCCTCTGAAATACCCTTCCAGAAGAGATTAAGTTAGCCCCCACTCTTGATCCTTCCGATCCAGCTTAAAAACAAGGATTTTAAGCAGGTTTTTATCCTTGAGTAGGCTAAAATGGGCCCATATGAGGTTGACACTTCAGAACGTTAGTTGTGAATCGAAGGCATCTGATAAAAGTTTTAACTACAGATGGTCTGCGTTTTAAACTGTGTTTTTATTTTATTTTATGTATTGATAGGGGTTGTTTTTATAACTTTTATGTGATATTGTCTTTATACTAATGTACTGTCAATGTTATATACTATACTTGTAAGGGTATACTTGTATACCCTGCATGCCTTTTGGGAGATGATGGCAGGATATAAATAAAGATGATGATGATAATGATGATTATCATTATTATTATAATCATCTTATGTGTCTATTCAGTAGTAGCAAATATTTAATTATTATCAATGCTTTTACCTTCAGAAATGTAAAAGAAAACCCTCAAAATTGGGGAACATTTCTAGCTTATTTTTCTTTTGGGGTGAGGAATATACTTACTATTGTATTCCAGACTTCACTAGCAATAATTTATTGTAAAAGAAGACTCATCTGGCGTTTTCTTTTAGCTCTGAAGTTTACTTATGAGGAAGTTAGTTAGAAGTTACATAAGAATTATCTGTCAGAAGAACAGAGGGAGATAAAGTCAGAGATAAACCAACTACTTTTTTAAAAAACTGGAAGCAAGCTTGCTTCCTCTTTCACAGATTTTCAGACTTTGAGAAAGTGCAACTTATATTGGCATTGCTAAACTGATCTAGTAATGGTAGTTGGCTTTCAGGGCAAAGACATTTGAAGATTGTTCAAAGTGGACAATGCTAATGAGAGTTCAGATAGGCCTTCAATATTTTTTTTATATTGACACATTAATGCTTTCTGTCCTCAGGTGTGTGAGCAGCAATATTGTCCTATTGACCCAGGCTTTTAGGAGGAAATTTGTCATCCCTGACTTTCAGGAATTCATCTCTCATGTGGAGCAGATTTTTGAGAAGACCAAAGAGCTCCAGGACGGCAAGGTAGACACAAAAAAGAAAAAAAGGAGCAAGCAATGTCTCTAGATGTTAAGTAATAGCAAGTCAGTCCTCACAACTCTCAGAAGGAACCAGAGAGATAAGAGAGGAGGAGGGTGGGCATCCTGCTTGGCTTTGCTTTTCATTGGAATGAGGTGGCTATCCAAGGTGGAAACAGCAGTAGGAATATGTAAGCTTTGAGGCCAGCACTATTTAAGTTGTAGGTCTTGTTGGGCAATTAGGGTTATTAACAAAAAACCCTCCTCATAAATGTATAGCAGAGAAACTTATTAGCAGCAGTGTGACCCAGCAGTAGTAGCCCAAAGTGATAAAAAGAACAAAAACGCACAGAACAATGTTGTCTCTTCCATACGAGGCTTTTCTTTGTAGTAAAATTATATCCAGCTAAACAACAGAGAGGAAAAAAAAACCAGGCACAGATTAACACCTCCCAGCAACAGATTTCCCAGGCTTAGGCAGGCCTTCAAATGCTAATGAAGGTGATCAGCTAACATTCACACCTAACTGCAGCAGGGAAGAGCTCCTTGCCCCACCCCAGCCATTCCACAGATATATAAACCCATTGTCCTAATTCCAACAGACCTCACACCTCTGAGGATGCTTGCCATAGATGCAGGCGAAACGTCAGGAGAAATGCCTCTAGAACATGGCTCTATAGCCCGAAAAAACCCACAAGAACCTAAAATTATATAGTTGCAGTATTTACAATAACAAGGTTTCTACAACACAAATAAAGTCCTTTATACTTCCTTCTTTGCTTCCTTGCTGGGCTTCTTCCTCATGCAGATAAACGGCTTCACTCTCACAGAGCCTCCTCTCACAACAAACTTATACTGGAGCTTCTCGCAGTAGCTTTTTACACATAGCAGCCTTTATGCACAAGGCCTTTAACTTGGGGCTTCTTTCACCAAAAATTCTCACACCAGGCCTTCTCATAGACTGAGGCCTACCTCACAGACAGAAACCTTTCTCCCACAGAGGCGATTTCTCACACAGTGTGATTTCTCTCACACATAGCCTTCTCATATGAGGCCTTCCTCATACTTCAACTTCTCTCATACGGAGGTTTCCCTCACACTCCTCAGGATGACACTAGCTTTGGCCCACTGACTCTGAACAGGCTTCAGCCTACTAACTCTTTCAGTGCTTGACTCGCATTTTTGTAATAAAAAATACCTTGTTAGATTTTAATATTTCTGACAGGTCCCTTGACTCATGCTGGTCTCCAAACAATTAGCTGCAGGTCCATAGAGAATTTTCAGGAAAGAAAGAAACCACGGCCAATATATAGTACTGGTCAATAGGGATATTGGAGGGAAAAAATGCTGGTTCTCACAGCAGATAGATAAAAAACATTCTTTCACAAAAAATTATGATTATGAAGAAAGTTCCCTTTAAAACATCTTGTAACTGGAGAAAGGGGAAGTGCCAAATAATATAAACGTTGTTGGGGATGATGAGTCAAGGGAAGCTGCCTATGTGTCCATCAGCTAGGCATATTTACTTGAGGGGAGACTAGTGAACATCTGCCTTGCTAACTGATTTTTTCTTTCTAGGTGGCAAATTACATCCCACAGCTGGCCAAATGTAATCCAGACATCTGGGGTGTTTCACTTTGCACAGTAGATGGACAACGGTGAGTGGAAAGACTCAACATTGCAGGCTGAGAAGCAGTGCCACATCTCTCCCTGCTGGGTGCATGGCATTCATGCAGCGGAGAGAACTGCCTTCTGTGGAAAGCTAATGTGTTTGTGGAGCTAGATGGCTGGGGTCATTGCACCCTGCAGGCCAGAGAGAGCCTGGGAATCAGGTAAGACCTAACTATCCAAACCTGCAATGTTGGGGTTACAAGTGACAGACAGTTGTGTATATTGTTGCACCCCCAGATGAAGGCAGGACAATCTACGTGCCAGGTGGTGTCATCTACCCTTTGCCTTAGTAGATTGGAGGTAGTGTCACACAGGCATGTATTTAGTGGAACTGTTTCATACTTGGGATTTGAAGGACTGCAGCTCAGGGCCCTTCCAGATAGGCCCTGTATCCCAGGATATGATCCCAGGTTTTCTGCTTATATGAGTCCGCACTGCCAGATAATCGGGGATAAACAGAAAACCTGGGATCAGATCCTGGGATATAGGGCCTGTCTGGAAGGGCCCGAAGTGGCAGAACCAATGCTCTATATACAGAAGGTCTTGTTATCAATTCCTGGCATCTCCAAGGCGTTGGAAACTTCCTGCTCATTGAATTGTGGATAACAACTAAGGCAGCTTTCTCTTTTCGTTTGTAACATGCTTTAGTTTAAAACATTAAGTGACAAGAGCAATCCTCCTCTTCCTCCTCTTTTCTCCAGGCATTCCATGGGCCACACCAAGACCCCCTTCTGCTTGCAGTCATGTGTGAAACCCCTGAAATATGCAATTGCTGTTAACGAACTGGGTACCAAACCAGTGCATCAGTATGTGGGCAAAGAACCCAGTGGGCGGCGCTACGACACACTCTCTCTCAATGAGGAAGGTGAGAGGCAATGACTCCAGAGGACAAGGAATTGGGAAAGGGAATTACGATCACCAAGAAGCCGCTTGGTGTGTTTGTACATAGGAGACCAATGGTGGAATCCAGCCACGATGTTCTCAAAATGCTTTTGAGTAAGCCACTCTCCTCCAGGATTTGTTTCCCATAGATAAGCCAACATCTATTCTAAAGAAAAACATATAAAATCAGCTCTATATATTATGTGTTCTACATCCATGCATGCAACCCACCGCTGCTCTAAAATATTCAGAAAAAAATAAAAAGTAAACTTTGATTTTGCTGCAAACGAAGCATTATACCAGGGGTAGGGAACCTTTGGCCCTCCAGCTGTGGTGGACTTCAACTCCCACAATTCCTTGAGGCTCGGCATTGGGCCAAGGTAAGCCTTTGGGGTGAATGCCGAGCCTCAAGGAATTGTGGGAGTTGAAGTCCACCACAGCTGGAGGGCCAAAGGTTCCCTACCCCTGCATTATACTGATGTATAGCCAAGGCACATCATGCTGTAGTCTTCCACCATTTCATAGGTCCCAAGGCCGTCTCTGGCACTTGCTTGAGTTGTTCACAACATTATATAAACGATACGATTTTACCATGCCATGGAATCCCTGTGGCGCAATGGGTTAAAACCTTGTGCTAGTAGAACTGCTGACCGAAAGGTCGGTGGTTCAAATTTTGGGGAGTCTCTGCAGGTTCCGGCATATTTTCTGGAAGGAAAAGGAAGGAAACTCATCTCCAAGCCAATCCCAATTACCCAGCACAGCATTAAGCACACTGTGCATTAAAAGATATTATAAAATGATTTTGCCTTTTCTCTTTAAATATGGCTACCATCCTCCAAATAACTACAGTACTTCCTTCCTTTTGCCCTCATTGTTATCCCCATTATATTTAGTGAGGGGAGGCCTTTGCTTGAACCTTGACTGAAATCTCAGGTGAATGGTGCTTTGTGAGTTACAGCAGACCTTGGCAATTCCAGCCTGTAATTTGTGTCACCCACACCCTCATCCCACTTAAAGCAAGCTTTACCAAATGTAATGCAGACCCTCCCCTAGGGAGATATGGAACTCCTTGCTGACTCATCTTGCCTTCATTTTTATGCATGTTTGATCATGTTGGGGCCTCCTTGATCCTTTATCCACTAATCTTTTTTTCCTGTAGGGGCAGAGTTTGGAAAGTTTGTACACTGAGTTAATAGCAATTTCTGGGTGGTAACATGAACATGCAAGACAGCTAGCCTCAGTTGTTACAGTTGTTACAGAACATTGTGATCCCAACACCACTTCAGTTAAAGTCAGTAATGTGGGGCTGGTCTGAAATATGCTTAGAGGCAATGCACATGTCTCATAATTATAATAGATGCTAACTGTTTCCCTGCATTGTAAACCTAGGTAGGTTTCCGGTTTTGCCATGACACTAATGGTGGATTTCTGTTTTGTTTTGGCATCAAGGGATTCCACATAACCCCATGGTGAATGCAGGGGCCATTGTCATCAGTTCTCTCATTAAGGTAAGGCACCACAGGTCTCCACTTGAAAGATAGAATAAAGGGATTATTTGACCCCACTGAACTTGGGCTAGGCTGAGTACACTTATGGAGCAACCAGAGTATGTTTGTTAGAGCCTGCATTGGAAGGCTAAGTGGGCTCTGCCTTTGTTCTTGGAGTCCTATTACTTCCTCATCATGGGCATTTTTTTCAGAATCAATACTGGGGCTACAGCCAAGTAGAAAATATATAATATCTCTCCACTGTAATTTCCACCATTCCTCACCATTGGCTTGGGGTGATGGGAGTTACAGTTTGATAGTATCTGAAGGACTACAGGACTCTCAACAATAGGTTACAGTAAGATCAACTCTGGCATTTCCCTCTAGCAAGCAGAATTTCACAGCTAAGGACTATAATATTTATGGGCCTCAGTCACATTAGTGGCAGCTTACAGTTAGTGGGCTGCAACTGAAAGAGAAGCACTGGACTGCTCATGTAGGGCCTTCCTTCTTCACTAGAATCATGGCCAAGATTGTAGGACTTGGAGCTTCTTCTGGGATCTCTCTGCGTCAGAGAGAAAGATTCAATCAGATCCGTATCTCTGCTCAGATCCAAGCCATTTCTCATCCATCTTCAGATCTTTAAAGATTACAGATTTCAGACCAGTTCTGGTTGTTATGAGGATTTATGGTTGCTTGTGTTCATTTGATAGTCATGACAACCTTGGGTCCTCTTGGCCTCCTAAAAATATCCACCCCTCCTTGTGTCATTTGATAGAGTCCCTGTGGCTGACTTTAATAGTAGGAGGCCCTATTGGCTCAATGGGTTAAACCCTTGTGCCAGCAGGACTGCTGACCGAAAGGTCAGTGGTTCGAATCTGGGGAGCGGGGTGAGCTCCCATTTGTCGGCTCCAGGTTCTCATGCAGGGACATGAGAGACGCCTCCCACAGGATGGTAAAACATCCGGGCATTCCCTGGGCAATGTCCTTGCAGATGGCCAATTCTCTCACACCAGAAGCGACTTGCAGTTCCTCAAGTTGCTTATGAAAAGAAAAACAAAAAACTTTAGTAGGTGTTGGCCAAAGGAACACAGGTTGTTTATCTGGAACCCTAGAGTGTCTTTTATCTTCTTTCTTTCAGATGGGCTGCAACAAAGCTGAGAAATTTGACTATGTGAGTGTGAACATCACCTTTAACTGTTGAAAAGTTTCATTTCATGTTTTCTCAGCCCAGGGCCTGGTGTGAGTCAGACCCAATTCATTGACAAAAATTGGCTGATCAGTTCTGTAGTTCAGATTCAGCTTGTGCTCTCAGAACTGCTTAAAGGAGTTATCGTTGAAGGGTGAGAAACTCATAGAGCACCAGGGTGTGTTTTCAAACATCATTTGCTCTCAACTAAATTGCAAAGAGACAAGCAATGTTCCTGAATGACCTAATTCAGATTTGACTTGAGGCAGTTGTCTGACATCTCTCTCTCTCTCTCTCTCTCTCTCTCTAACATTACAACTCAAAAAAATTGCCCAGGAGACCTCATCTACCAACTAGAACCTTCTTATTATTATTATTATTATTATTATTATTATTATTATTGAATACCAATAATATCTGAGAACTAGGATTTTATATATGTCAGCATTTGTTGTAGTAGTAGTAGCATATAATGCATAAGACAGTATTTAACAGTGAGAAAGTTTAAACCTCAGTTGTATCTATTTAATCAGATGGAAGAGGGAATAACGAATGACCCATTAGGACTGAATTGTGCATATATTTGGAAGATCTATTTTGTTCCTCTTCTAGGTAGTGGATTACTTGAAGAAACTGGCAGGAAATGAGTATGTTGGATTCTGCAATACCACGTAAGGCCACTTTGGAGATGAGTGAGCAATGTTGCTTCCACAAGAGGTGCTCATCATGCTTGTTTCACCTGAAGTGTTTGCTTGGGACTTGTGAATGTAATTAATGCAGCAGGATGATTGAGTGATCCTTTTACAATTGTAGTCAGCCAGTGTCTGAAGGGAGACGAAGACATGTAAACATCTCTTTGTAGGTTTCAGTCAGAGAAAGAAACAGGAGACCGAAATTATGCCATTGGATATTACCTGAAAGAAAAAAAGGTAACAAAGGAGGAGGAGATGGGAGGAATGAACAAGAGACAAGAATCCAGGATAAAGTGCAACTTGATGGGTGTTGCAATTTGGGATGGGATGTATTATTATTCTCAATGTCTAATGCAGTTCTCCTCTTCTTTCATCTGTACACTAAAGTGTTTTCCACGAGAGGTAGACATGATGGCAGCCCTTGACTTGTACTTCCAGGTAAATTGAGTTTGGCATCATATTCTCTGTTTGGACAACTGAACCCAGAAGAAAAATCAATATTAGGAAGATTAAGAGCTCTCTTTCCAGTTGACTTGTAGCTTCCATGCCAGTGGAACAGCTTATTCCTAAATGAGTTGAGTGCCTGAATGGCTCCTTTAGAGTTTGGATTAAAACCCAGAGTGGATTTGCTGCTCTTCTGATTTTGTTTTGCCATCAACTGACACTGGTGAAATATCTGCATTAAATTCTCTATCAGTGAAAGTATCCCAACTGGAAAACTAGAATATGGGAATTTCGGCCTTTTATATGCTATTTCAGAAGACTCTGATACCTCATGAGCCCTGCAATTACAACTTCAAGCAAAAGCCAGGGATCATGGCTGAGTCTTACTCATAGTTCTGGCTTCTGAGTCTCAGGTTGCTGCTGTTAGAATATAATTGTTAAATCTTTTCTTACTTTCTTCCATTGCCCCACTCCATCCAGCTGTGTTCTGTGGAAGCGACCTGTGAGTCCGGTAGTGTCATGGCAGCCACACTGGCCAACGGTGGGATCTGTCCTATCACAGGGGAGTATGTCCTGAGTGATGAAGCTGTCCGCAACACCCTCAGCCTCATGCACTCATGTGGCATGTATGACTTTTCAGGGCAGTTTGCCTTCCATGTGAGTTTCCACTGTACTTTTGTCCCAAACCATTCCCTTATGTTCTGAGAAAATGTCTAGGATGGCAAGATAGTGGTCAGACTGTCATGATGTGAATACTGTTATTTCATTGCATAATAGTCACAGCCTCCCCCCCTTTGGGGGGGGGTTCCCTTTCATTGCATAATAGTCCCACTCTTGATTCACTCACCTGCACCTGGGTGAGAGAATCAAGGGTGCAACTCAGTAAGTGAAGCTTTACCGACCTGTATGGCTGTCCCTCAAAGGACATGATGAAAAAAGCCCCTTTGAAGGAGCAGCCACATGGGTGGGTGATGCTTCAAAAGGAACACCTGCACGGCTGCCCACTCAAAAGGCCTTTTTTACCACGTAAGAGTTGCCACTGCATAATACTTGCACTCCCTTTTTTAAAGGGGAAAGTGGGGAGAGTGCGACTATTATGAGGTGAAATACTGTAGTCAGTTAAAACTCACACCTTGACAAGTTTAGGCATTTTTAGTTCTATGCCTTATGTATGCATTTTCATTTATGAGCCTGTAATCCAATGTACAGCCCATATATATATATGATTTAGCCATAATATAGTGTGTTCCGAGTATGCACAGATGTATAAACAAATGATGCTGTTATTTCTTTCAGGACTCAGATAAATTTACAACAGTTAAAACATAGCTAAACATTCAGAGTTTAATATGTAATTAAACAATCAAAAAATTAAAACCTTTAAAAACACGATCCCCTAACCCTCCCTTTTTCCCAGCCGGAAAATAAAATAAAAAGTCTTACAATAATTGGAAATCAGAGGCCAGTGACTTCCAATTGCAATTTTTAGCAAGCTAATTACACCCTGTGGCAATTACCTGGGCTATATTAAGGCCTTCCTTTCTTCATCTTCAGGTGGGCCTTCCTGCCAAGTCTGCAGTCTCCGGGGCCATTCTGCTGGTGGTGCCCAATGTCATGGGTGTGATGTGTCTCTCACCTCCTCTGGATAAAGGTGGCAACAGCACACGAGGGATTGGATTTTGTCAGGTAAGTTTCCTAGGGCCATAAATCCATAAAGCAGCCATCCCAAGAGCCAGTGAGAACAACAGCATAGACAAGTGGCATTTACGGATTGTGTTTGTGCCATAAATATTACACAAAACGGTATATACAACTAATTCCACAACTGTGGTCAGAACCTACAATACTAAAACAACATATATGAACCTAAAACTATTCCCACTTATGCCTTATAAGTTTACTAAGGTCTAAGGCAATGGTTCTCAACCTGTGGGCCCCCAGATGTTTTTGGCCTTCAACTCCCAGAAATCCTAATAGCTGGTAAACTGGCTGGGAATTCTGGCCAAAACACCTGGGGACCCACAAGTTGAGAACCGCTGGTCTAAGTAGATGTTAAAGGATCAACATCATAGGCCACAGGGACTGTCTTTGTTAATGTGGAAGAAATTGCACACGGCCAAAAGGTCATCTCTATTTTTTAATGGGGTTTTGAACAATGTTGAAAGGTCCATCTTTTGGGGTGCACCAGAAAACGGCAGTCCAGTTATTGTTGAGGTCCAGAGATGTAGTTTTGCCCACTCTTGATTTCTAGAGAGGTCAGTAAACATTTGGAAGAAAGAACATGGGGATACATATGACATCTGCCTGTTTCTGATTCATCTCCAATCCCTTTATTTTAAGGGGAGAATATTTTGGTACGGGATTCTGTTACATGTATACATGAAATATGCCTGTTATGGTTACCCTGACTGATTCCATCCAGAGTGCTCATGGAGCAATCAAGTCAAAAAACACTCTATAGCTATGCCTTCTCTTCCTTACTAAGGAGTATTGAACTTGTAAGGGAAAAAGTGGGAAAATACAAGAAGGTTACATGTTGAAGGTGATAACATCTAGATAGAACAATAAAATTCTGTGGACAAAACACAGCAGAATAAATATAGTTAATGAAGTAGATGTATTTCTAGGCATTACTTCTTTTATTTTAAACATGGTACCTGAGGCAGAAATAACATGGAAAGAACTGGGTTCTTGTACCATAAAAATCAAAGATCAACTGTTTCAGTAAATGATGTATTGACAATCTGGCTATGTGAAATGAAACAACCAGGTCAGGTAAGTAAATAAACAAAAACATATTGGAACACTTTTTTCCAAAATACATCCAGGCATTTTTTTTATCAGTTTTCACTTTTTTCTTATGGATTCCATTTTGATGACTAAATATTCAGAGCTGTTTCTTTGGGGTTTTTTTTTTAACATACTGGAGGGAGCTGGTAAAGGAAGCTTATTTCTGTCCCACTTTTTAAATCAAAGTTTTGCTGTTCATAAGTGCTCAGTAAGGGATTCTGGAGGCAGGGCCTATTTGTCTTTCCCATCATCATCAGGAAGATACAGCAGCAATAGCATAAACTAGAGTAGAATCTCTGTTTCCCGCTCAAGCTTTTATGTTTAATTCTATTTTACTTGTTCTTTGTTCTACGCATATGAAGCTTGCTGTGTTTAATACTTGGGAAGTGTTACGTGTTTATGTTACAGACCCCTATTTTCCTCCATGCTGCTGTACTTTCTCACTCAGCCCATTGTGCTTTGATTCTGAATTTCCCAGGAGCTGGTATCACTCTTCAACTTCCACAACTATGACAATTTGCAGCACTGTACTCGCAAAATGGACCCACGCCGTGAAGGAGATGAAGTGAGGGTAAGCAGAGACGAGAACTGACACTACTGAAAGACGCTTAGGAGATTTGAGTTGAGAAGAGATATGAACAAAAGAAACATTTAGAGTGGAATAAAAATGAAGAAAACTGCTATTGGTAAAATAATTTAGGGTTGCAGATCCTGCTTTCAGTGGACTGTTGGCAAAATCTATTGGACTAGATCAGTGTTTCTCAACCTGGGGGTCGGCACCTGGGGGGGGGAATCACAAGGGGGGGTCACCAAAGATAATTAGAAAACACATGTTTTTGATGGTTTTAGGAACTCCTTTGGCAGAGAAGGCTAACTATCTCTCTGCCCGTTCTTGTCTTGTTTTTTGGAAATCCTCCCACCTAAAGCCCTCTTCCTGTTGTGATTTCCTGGCCTCTCAGCTGGCTTCTCAACCAAGGGGAGGACTGTTTCTGAGACTACAAGTGGGGAGGGGAGAACAGGCATGCTCAGTGCATGGCTGTGTAGTGTGCATGCATGGGTGAGGGAGAGCGTGTGAGGCTGGAGGGAGGCTTGCGTGCTTATTCATACCTTGTTTTGTATCTTTCAGAACAAGACTGTTGTAAACTTGCTCTTTGCTGCCTACAGTGGAGATCTCTCTGCCCTTCGGAGGTGTGTGCCTGCTAGCTCAGCAGAAATTTGTGAGGAGATGTCTTAAAGTTTCACCCATGCATTGATCTCAGTGTAACTGAAATCATCCTGCATCCTATTTGACTCCTTCTCCTTGGCTTCTCTCCAGATTTGCTCTGTCAGCCATGAACATGGAGCAGAAAGACTATGATTCCCGCACAGCTCTACATGTAGCTGCAGCCGAAGGTATGCTGGGAACACAAATACGTCACAATTCCCATATACTTGCTCCAGGGCTTCACCTGTATATTTAGGCCTGCAGAGCTCTGGTACTTATTAAATCTTCTTAGCTTCACTGGACATCTCTGTTATCCATATGCACTGTGGAAGGTTCTCCGGTGTGGTAATGATTTTATGGGAGTAGTATTATAACTTTGTTTTAACATGCCATCCATTCAGTGTTTCTCTGGTCATTACGTCCAGTGTGCCCTTCGAAACAGGAAGATATCACAGAAGCCCGTGTGGGGCAGCCAGGGTTCAGTGCCATTCTTGGCCATGGGAACTCACTGTGGACCCTTAGGCAAGTTACATTCTCAAAGCCCTGAAAGAAGATAATGACAAACACCCTCCACTAGAAATCTTGCTAAGAACATCATATGATAGGGCTACCATAAATCAAAAACAACTTGAAGATACAGAATAACAACTGGGGCAAAAGTTTTGTGCACAAAGCCAGTGAGAATGGCAGGTCAAAGGTGGGAGGCATCCAGTAAAGAAACAACAGAAGGCTGTTGACAGGGACAGAAATTGCTTCCAGTAGAGCTGGGGGTCCTCAAAGCAGAAAACTTGCAAAATGTTTGAATCCAAATCAGTTTAAACTTTAAAAGACTTTCTTTCCCCATAACTACATATGTAGTATAACACAATTTTAATCCAAAAGACATTGATTTTGTTTGATGGCAGGTGGGAATCCCAAGCAGTGATTTTTCACTGTCAGAGTTCCCAAATAAGGAAATCCAAATGTATGGCAGCCATTGAACTATATAACTAAGCAATCACACTTTTTAACTTTTCCACCCATGGGAGAAAAGTGGGAAATAAATAAATAAATAAATAAATAAATAAATAAATAAATAACCTTGGAATAAAATCCAGTAATTATAAGTTTGAGTAGAGCTCATATTTAATTATTTGTTCAATTTATATATCCTGCCTTTCTTCTGGATTTTAACGCAAGGAGGCTTACTAAAATCAAATTTTAAACACAGTTAAAATCATGACATTAAAATAAGATGTTAAAATACCGATAAAATAAACAAAAAGAACACAAGTTAAACAATAAAGCACCCTCCCATAAGAAGCCTCCCATAATTACTCATTAGAAGCCTGCTTAAACAGAGAAGTCTTTGCCTGAGTTCTGAAATAGGCTCCTATGTTCCAGTATTTGGAGACATGTGCTCTAGAATTTAGGTTACAGTCTACACTGCCTTCTGTCCAGGTAATTGACCACTGCTGCGTGTGCGGTACTTACTCTGATCTCTGCTTTAAGAACTCCATGGTCAAGGATGCATAGGATGGTCTCTATGACAGCAGTTCCCAAACGTTTTTGATCATGGAATCCTTCAGAAGACATTTCTTTTCTGTGTAAACCTAATCTGTCCATGGTTTTTACTAAGCATTGTGAACCCACAAAGCTCTTCCTTCTTTCATCTATTATTTTGCTGAAGTATTTTGTTTTATGTAGTACAGCATCTGCAAAATGTGGTCCTCCAGCTGTTTGGGCCTCCAACTCTCAAAATTTCTGACCATAGCACAACCTGGCTAGGGCTTCTGGGAGTTGCAGGTCAAAATAGCTGGAGGGCCAGAATTTGAGGATGCCTGATGTAGTAGTTTTTGAAATTAAGAGAAAACAACTTCCGTTGGCAAGTAGGTGTTTGAAGATAATCCACACACCCTTTCCTTCATAGACCGCTGCTCTCTGATATAGTGTGCATCACTTTTGTTTTTGGGAGGAATTTGAAATAGTCTTTTGCATGCTTTCTAATTGTGCGATTTTCCCCTAGGGCATCTAGAGGTCGTGAAGTTTCTGGTGGAGGCCTGCAGAGTCAATCCCTTTGTCAAAGACAGGTGAGGACTGACAAGTTGAAGCTGCCTGCCAGTTCCTACATTTTCACAACTGTTCCGAGACATAGTCACAGAACAAGAAAAGCTTAGACCTGCTTTTTACCTAGGTCAGTGATTCCCAACCTTTGGGCCCCTGTTGTTTTGGACTTCAACTCCCAGAAATCCCAGCCAGTTTACCAGGTGTTAGGAACTGTGGGAACTGAAGTCCAAAACACCTGGAAGCCCAAAGGTTGGGAACAACTTATCTAGATCCAGGAGCCATTTTCCCACCTGGAACCACAATGCACCACCAGAATTTCGTGGCAGCAGTAATAAAAGCATGTTCATTTAAAATCAAGAGACACAGGAAATTTCTGTCAAAGTATATAGGACGATGTGGATTTTTTCTGTCAATAAGTTTAAACAATGGCAAATAGTCAAAAAGAGGCCTCATTTGCCCATCTCTAGTTTAGACCATGCTTGCACACCCCACAACCCATCAAGAACTTAATAAGTCATTTTGGCTGCCTGACTACAGGTACAAGACCAAGAAAAGTGACCCCAGTGTGACAGGTGGGCTGTGTCTGACTTTGTATATTACCTGTTGTGCAAGACCAGTTCTAGACAAATATGTGTGATTCCCTCTGCAAGACATGCAGCAGTGGCCTGTGTTGCTTTCAAGATGAAAAGTGTACACATGTACATGAATGTGTTTGTGGCCTGGATCAGAGAAAGACTAGGGCAGTTCCTACTCATCTCCTGGAAATGCCAAGTATTGTCATTGTTAGATGGGTGATCCATATGTTGTTCTATCCCAACGTTTGCTTTAAGACTAGGATGACTATACTGATCAGATTTGCCCCTTTAGCTAAGAGAGTTTTAACTGACCCCACTCCTTGAAAAAGTACTCTCCAATTTTCTAGGGATCCTTAGAGTGAAGATCCTCCCACTATAGTATATGCATCCCTGAATCACCTTAGTCTCTCTTTTCTCAGCCAGTTGCCATCTTCCCAATGTGCCTTCTTTGCAGGTGGGGAAACATTGCCTTGGATGATGCTATCCAATTTAATCATTTGGAGGTGGTGAAACTGCTCAAGGATTACCAGGACACATACATCCTGGGAACCAGACAAGCTGAAGAAGCAGCTGAAGATCTCTCCAAAGAGAATTTAGAAAGTATGGTGTGAGATTGGTCTGCAGATGCAAGTAAGCGCTGCTGCCTAGGCTGCATGCATTTAAGGGCCAAGACAGAGGAGAGAAGATGTCTATATGGTTTTCTTTTTCTTTCAATGCTGGCACACAAAAACAAACAAACAAACAAGTGGCACCATACTGAGGTCTTTGACTTTTCCCTTTACATCAGGTGTTGGAGGAAGGCAAAGTAGATTTGTGGGATTTGTTATAGATCCCTATGACCAAAAAATATTCAGCAACTGCAACAACATGAGTTATTCCATTCTAAATTTTACTACTAAAATAAAAAAAGTGGGATAACTAGGAGTGGATATTTATGTGGAAAGAATATAGGCTGTTTTAGTACTTTAGACAGATTTATGGGCTAAATATTCTTGCATTTTGTGTATTTTGTAGAAGATTCCAGTTGGTGGAACTTGAATTTTTAGTTAAAGAACCAAGCACCACCACTGATCTTGCACTTTTTAAACTTTCCTATGTTATTTTTTCCATGGAAGCTCTCCCTTTTCTTGACACATAATGCATAGCTATTTGACTCATTTGAGAACATATACGAATCTGGTCCTCTTGGAAGACTTTTCAACTGCTCCTGAAAAAATATAATAAAATTTCACTAGATATTCTCTGAATATGCTTTCTGAATAAGGTTGCACAATTTCTTTAACCTTTTAAAAAAACTTACATTCAGTATATAATTGTCAGTGCAATTAAATGGAAGTGCTTCAAAACACCAAGTACTGAAAAATGCACATTAGGGGTTGCACTTGTGCATCTCTCCCAATTTTGCTGGATTGCATCTCCCTCCATCCCTCCCCATTGGCTACAGCTGCTGGATGTGGTCATCTAACAACATATGGAAATCAGCATGGAATCCAACTCCTTATAGACAACTGAACTGATTCACTTCAAGCAATTCCAAAACAATTGGTCTAAGTGTCACCTATAAAGCAAAAGTAGAAAGTTTTGCCCTAACTATCTGAGCCAATGGTAACAAACATAATTACATAATTAAAGAAGTTGATGTGAAAAATATCATAGTGCCAGGAAGTGGCTACAGAACAACATTAAGCATATACAAACATTTAGGAAGTGATCAGGCCTAGCATATTTACTCAAAAATACACACTAAAATACAGAAAATGAGAATATATTTTTAATCAGAGACGACGTCACTGCCAGGGAGCAGTGTCATTTTCTCTGAGCTTTTCTCTGTTAAGAAGGAACAATATTGCTGCTAAAAGAACATCCAGTTTGCCACTCAAACCTTGAAGCTGCATAATATTTCATACATGCTGTATAATCAAACTGATGTCATTGCAGACTTCATAAGCTTCTTAAATCTAAGTCTCAAGTGGTACAGTACTTTTATGTTAAAGAACTAATGTATGCTTTAGGAAAAAACACCGGTCACACCAAGCAACCTAGGGCATCACCAGTTGACAATACATTGTGTGAGACAACTTCATTTTTATTTATATTTTTCATGCATGAGGTGCTCTTCAAAATAGCTCCCCTTTCTTGATTATTTTCCATAAAATGAATATCTAGAGAACTTGACAATGTAGTACATTTCAGAGATGTCCCAGTCTTCATCACTCCCAAACTTGGGGGAAAAAACAGGATATAAATGAGTATAATAAGAAAACATGAATAGTTTAATTGTGGGTAATTGTATCCTTCATCTGCCTGTCTTATTTCCTTCCCATCACTTAGGCTTACACAGTTGTAGATCTAAACTGGCTGTTTTATATTAAATAGTTGACAGATTCCGGTAAAGGCAACCCTGGATATTATGGAATGCAGGAATTTTGGTTAGTGTAATGAAGTAATTCCTATGAAACTGGTGTTTAGAAGTGTAAGAGTTTCTCAATGGTAGTAAATGCCTTTAACCAGATCAGCAGAGGGCAGCAGTGGCTATGCATTGTACCGAGAAGCCTACTGACAGTGGGCGTTTCTTATTTTCCAACTCCAAAGCTTAAGCAGATTCCTGCAATGGAGATTAGGAGTCTTTTCAATTAATTAAAAGACATGAATACAGCATGAGTGTATCAGATGTTCTTGGACTACCAGTTCCTTGATTAGTAGGTATGCTGGCTAGGGCTCATGAGGGATGAAGCTTAACTACATCTGGAAGGTGAGAAGTTTCCCGTCCTGAGATAATGGCAACACATTTTGAGGCGAATCATATACAAAAATAGTTGTCAAGAAAGAAACTTGTTATTTTAGACCTGTCTTCTGAAGCACTTTTTGTGTACAACCAACCTCAAATTACTTTTGAGTTCAAATGGACCTGCCCCCACACACAGAAAGTTTAAATGTACCCTCTTGCTGAGTTCCATGACTTATTTTTTAATGCTATATATACAGGGATACGTTTCAATCTGGTATCTAGAGGTCTGATCTTTTTCTCTGGGAAAAACAAGTTGGACAGTTTAAAATTCTATTTCCTTATCAGGCAAGGATATTGTCAAAGGGAAATGTCTTCCATTGTTATGTTGCAATCTGAACGGTCCAGTCTCTCAGGCAGATAATCCTCTGAAAATCCATCATTGTTCTTTAGAGGTTTTTAGTTGCTCTTGAGCTTCTCAGGTACATCAAGGCCTGAATGAGTTAAGAGTTCACCATCCCAGAGGGCAAAAGCAGGCACCACGGGGCCTTTGAATTCAGCATACATGCTGTGGATAAACACAAATTTGCTAATATCGATCAAGCTCAATTTCTTGCCTTCATAGTCCAAAAGTAGACCCACTTTCTCTGGCTTGCCAATGTTGCTGATGGGAGTGGTCTCGTTGGCAAACATGGCATTCCAGTGCCGGTCTGCATAAGCAAAGACCCAGGAGCTCTCATCCATGCCAATGCAAACTTCTCGGGAAATGTCCACATCGGCCACCCCAATGCGGAACTGCTGTGACAATTTAACAGTCACTTCCCAGTAATGGCAGCCACTGGACACAATGGCGTTGCCCAGGATTACAGCCCAGTCCTTGAAGCGTTCAGGGTTCGGAGGAACTTTAGTGGGGTCAATCCCCAACATGCGGTAAATGACGCCAGTGTCCTTTTTACACAAATCCAAGGTACTGTGGGCAGTCTTCTCATCTAGTTTGAAATTGATCTCTACAATTAAAACAAAATGGGGACACTGAAGTTTTTCCTTTTTTCAGAAAAGAAAGACAAAATTCAAGAGAACAATTTTCTTTTGTAATTGCCACTCTATCTGAATTCTGCTGATCTACTAAGAGAGACCCGCTGTGTTTGTTTTTGAGGACTCAAATGCAACTTACTGAAAGTAAAATGGACGTCTTGCATTAAAGAGTATAGTTCAAGGGCTGGGAAATCTGACAACGCAGCTTTTTGGCCTTCAGTTTGCAAGAGCCCCGACCAAGACACCCCTTTGTAAGAGGCAATGGCCCCTGAAAATCAAAGTCCCCAAAACAGCAGGAGGACCAAAGTTACAATGGGTATATTGCCCAATTATGTAACAACATCTTGGTGGTAGGTTAAATATGCAGGTATTGGTATAAGGATTAAAATATACATCAGTGCAGGATGGGCACCACTATACACTCATCTTCATGAATCCAATTTTGATGTCAGAAAAATGCAGAAATAGTAAATAGTGTAACAAAACTGGTAACATAACAACAAGCTTGTAGAAATTAATTTGTAATGCACCCATTTAAAGCTTTGTCTGGAAGCATCCTTACTATTGGCAGTAATACAATGAAATACTAGCTTAATACAATGAAAAACACTGGATGAATAAAGAAAGGTAAAAATGCTGACATGCTGATGCCAACATTTGTCACTAGTTTTTTTTTACACAGATACACTAGGCCCAAATATTATATTACACTGAATTTAAATACTTTAATAATAATGCTACCTTTAAGCAACTTAATTGGAAGCATGTTCCACTGAAATCTAGGATATTTATGTGTGAGCATAATCAAAACCAGGACCCAATTTCCAAGTATACTTCAAACTTGGATATACATTTACAGTTTTAAAACTATTTCCATATCCTAGAAACAGTCAATCAAGTGGCTCTGCCAAAGGCTAATTAAAAGCTATTTTAAAATTATTATTATTTGAAACACAACAAGATGAGTCTACAGCAGACACTCTGCTGGCTGTTGAATTGGATCACACGTCGGATTATTATTATTATACCTCGCTTTATCTCCACAAAGGGGACTCAAAGTGGCTTGTCATAACAGCATTAGTATACAATTAAAATATACAATATGCAACATATAAAACAGAATTAATTACAAACAGCGCTAAAAAATCATAGTTAAAAACCCATCAAAACATACTCAAAAGTTAAAAACATCAAAAGGTAGCAACAATAACCACCAGCTGTCATTCACTGAAGCAAACAGAAATTGTTAAAGCAGAGACTAGTTTCTGGTGTACAACTGGAAAGATTCAATTGTTAGTCCCAGCTTTTGTGTGATCCTTCAAGTCACCTGTTGATTTATGATGGCCCCAAGAAATCAGAATAAATCCAGTTAGCTGGATTAGTGTAAATGCACTGTCTATCAGACTACAGTGAATGCATCTGTTCTACATGAATGCATTTGACACCACTTTAACTTCCATTGCTCTTGTAAAGCAATATAGTTTTCCAAGATCTTACGCCTTCTCTAGCAAAGAATGATGATACCTCACTAAGCCAGAACTCCCACGATACTGTTGCACTGACCGTGCAGTTTTATACTTTAACTGCTTTACAGAGTTACAATTTTGATGCAACTGCTTTCTCTTAGGTTTTGGAAAGTGCTACTTTACAAAATTCATACTAAGTGCATTAATTCTACAGTGTAGATGCATCCACCTCTTGTACTATGATTTCACTTTAACTGCCATGGCATAATCATATGGAAAGCTGGGATTAGCAATTTAGTGAGGAACATTTAAAAGTCTTCGTCCAAGAACTCTTGGGCCTATACTACAAATTTATTAATTTATTTTATTGAGGCAAGGTTAGCCTGCCTTTCCCCACTTAAGGGCTCAAGGTTGCTAACAGCATTATAAAATACAACAATACAGACATTAAAATAGTACATATTAAAACCAAATATTTGACAGTGCTGATAAACATAAAACTTGAATATTAAAAAGAAACTATAGCATCCTAAAATCAAGGGTACCTAGGAGCCATCCAAGTGCCCTCATCTGTTTAACTCAGAAAACCCAGTCGGCGGAAAGCTTTCTTTGGAAAGACTTTTTAAAGACTTTTTTGGAACTGAGTAGGGTTCTGAAATCCCGCAGGCTGTTTCCTTGGCATTTAAAGTGGAACAATAGCACGAATATTATACACTATTATGTAGTATTGGGCCCTACATCTGTGCTCAAATCAAGTAAAGGCAGAGGAAAGAGGTTACCTTTCCCCACAGAATGCTTCCATTACATGAAAAGGGGGTAACAGTGCAGTAGGACAGGGCTCTAAATCAATGGGACTTAATAAGCCTTAATTAGCCTAAGTACCATTCTTTCCGTGGGTCTTTCCTTGCTGGAATAACTAGACCTTGCAAAGCCAAAGAGGAAATGTTATCATTGATCAGAACTCCGATATCTTGCAAGCAATGTGGCTGGAAAGCGGGATTTTTCTTATTTCGGATACCGAGAAACCGTGGCCTATGAGGCCCCTTCCACACAGATAAATAAAATCCCACATTTTCTGCTTCGAACTGGAATATATAGCAGTGTGAACTCAGATAATTCCGTTCAAAGCAGACATTGTGGGTTTTTCTGCCTTGATATTCTGGATTATATGGCTGTGTGGAAAGGCCCTGAGTTTCCTGCCTGCCTCGTACTTAGTAGAACTACAGGCGCCATCATTAAGCAAAGCCATGTCCTTGGGGAAGGGGCCAGGTTAGGAAAGGTCGCGGAAAGGGGGGAGCCACGCATGCGACTGCCTTGGCAAGCGACTGTTTTAACAGTACTCGTCGTATCTCGAGGGATCCTACCCCTCCGGGCCGCTTCGCTTAGGCCTCCTCGTCCCACGCCGCGCAAGCTCCAGCCACACTGCCTCACGCCTCGCAGGATGGGCGCCGCCATCTTGAATCAGCGTTCTTGCGTCACGTGAGCAGAGTCCACCCAAAAGTCGCCGCGGCCGCCATCTTGGAAAAGGGCGCAGAGGCTCCGGGGCGGACTCACCTTCCGCCATCTTGGGCTCAGGAGGTGGAGAGAGAGAGTTTCGTGGGCGCTGCAGCTGCTCCTTCTGCGAGGCCGCCATCTTAGCAGTGTTTGGAAAACCCTCGCCTTGGGGAGAGTTTGAGTCAAACCATCGTCTTTAGGCCCATCTACATTGTGGATTTAACGCAGTTTGACACCACTTTAACTGCCATGGCTCAGTGCTATGCAATCCTGAGATCTGTAGTTTTACAAGGTCTTTAGCCTTCCCTGCCAAAGACTGGCAGTGTCTCATGAAAACTACAATCCCTTAGGAACCCATAGCATTGAGCCATGGCAGTTTAAAGTGGTGTCAGATCGCAGTAGTTCAATAGTGTAGATGTGCCATCCAGCTTATCATGAATGCTGAGATAATCTTGACTTGTTGGATTTCTGCCTGCATTTGGACACCTGGAAGACCCAGAAGATATTGTTCATCCCTAGGATGAATCCAGTGGCACAGCAGTTAAACCGCTGAGCTGCTGAACTTGCTGACTGAAAAGTTGGTGGTTTGAATCTAGGGAGCAGGGTGAGCGCCTGCTGTTACCTCAGCTGGATCTAGTAGTTCAAAGACATGTAGATTAATAGGTGGTAAATGCCTTGGCGGGAAGGTAAGGGCACTCCATGCAGTCATGCTGGCCACATGACCTTGGAGGTGTCTATGGACAATGCTGGCTCTTCAGCTTAGAAATGGAGATGAGTACCACCTGCCAGAATCGAACACAACTAGACTTAATGTCAGGGGACAACATTTACATATTCAAGGGTAGCCACAATAAGTACAACAAAATGCATATATTAAAACACATTGCTATAAAATACATCATACAAGGATTAAAATACAATAGTAATCGGATTTACATTTGAAATTCATGGTTTAAAATTGACTTTATTGGCAATCAAAGTGCTTGAAATATGTCAATCAAGCTTTCAAAGCTTTACAAACTTCATCAAAGCTTCACATCCTTAAGATCAAGGCTGCCTGAGTTTTGTGCAAAGCTAATTCCCCCTTTGAATTTCTCAAGAAGTCTGTCCCACAGCTTTCACTTGATGTTTGAGACACGCGTCATTTCATGACACAGCCAGAAATTTGTGTTGGTTTTTTTTAACAATCTGAGGCATAATATTAATAGTTTCTTCAACATTAGTTGCTCTTGCTTCTTTTGCCTTTTCCTGTATTTTGCTTCAAAATGGCTTCTCCAGATGTTGGCGCTAAAAGAGTCCGCTGGGCATGAATTAGGTGTGATAATTACATATGACTGCTACAGGTTTTGGGGAGGTGGCTATTGTTGTCATCTTCTCATGACAGGATTGTTCTAGCTATTTGCAGCAAACCAGAAAGGAGAGACAAACAGAAAGAGAGCAAGCATATGCAGGGAGAGGTCAGCGTGAGGCTTCGCTTTTGCTGACCTAGATGCTGATCTCACAAAAATCAGAAATAGGAGCTCTATGAAGCTTTCAACACATGACAGCTAATGAATCCAGCCTCCAAAAGTCCTCTAGTTTCTGATGTAACCTAACCACTGTTCAAACCCAATTCCTCACTTGTAAAAAAAAACAGTTTTTGGGAATGTTAAACATTCCTATCTATTTGCTGAATATACCAGACATAAAGACTTTAGAGGTGACCCTGCTTCAATCCTGCTTTCTATTGTCTATGTAAATTCTTTGAAGTTTTGATTGCAAATTAATTCCATCTTCAAACAAAGGTAACTGTGGCAACTCTGTTCAGATCAGGTCCTGGGCTTAGTTCAAAGGAGCCTGTTGCCTTGACATCCTTGATGTTAGTACTTATCTCCATGCACATAATGGTTTCAAAGCAATTATATAAGATGATGATCCCAAAGATATCCTCTTCTCCCCAGGTACTTTTAACTGGAAGGACCAAGATTATAAAGATTATAAAGAATGGTCTGCTGTGATGACTAGGGATACTTCATCAACCCTGGCCTCCAATGTTGCATCTGAGAACTGGACTGTTTTACAATATTTCCCTCCCCTTCATCTTCCTCTGGACTACACCTGCTTCATCTTTAAAAGGGTCCAGTTTATAACTGGTGATGCAGGAGGATGAGGTAAGGCAGAAAGTGGGTGAAAAATACAGTCCTGTAAAGCACTAGATGACAGCCACAACAGCCATACCTCTTCTCCCTCTCTGATCAGAGTTTGCAAGACAGTCACCATGGGCATCAGGGAGGTAAGGACATCCATCCCTCTTTAACTCCTAGATGTAGTCAAATATCCTGCTTCTTCCCCATTTTCCTTCCTATCCTTCTGTAATTCTTGCCATCGCTCACACTATGTAACAAAATTTGGAAGATATTTCGTTCCGGGTTTGAAAGTGTTATTTCCTGTTTAATTGTGCGGTATTTACTTTGAAAGTAGCTGTTATACTCCAGAAACTTCATTTTTTGTGGCTGCCACAAACTAGGTTGAAACTCGGTGAGATATTCTTTGACAAACTATAGCAAAATGTGCTGCAGGGGAAAGGGACACCCAGCTAGCCAGCCAGATCAGCCAAAACAACCCTGGTGATCAATGAGGTGACAGATGTTTCAGCCAGATCGCCCTCACATCCTGCTGCTGGACGTCCCACATAAAACAGTTTAATAAACTGCAGTTTAATAAACTTTTCCCATGCTTTTATGATAGAACCAATTAGGAGATGACATTTATAACCAAGGAACAAAAATTGTGATACATAGTGTTATTTTAGGTAATTGTTCATCAGTTTTTTTCAATATTTTGCTAATCTAATCAGTGTTTTATAGTCCCTTCCTATGATCATTTAAATATTTTATTTCTATCTTGCTGGCCAGAATTTAATCCCTGAAGACATTTAACTTCCAAATGGCAATCTCTGTTTTATTTTAAGATCAAGTTTACACTCGCTAAGAAATAAGGTGTTTATTTTTTATTTTCCTTTGTTCCTATATTTCAAGAGGCAAGCAGTTAATTGTTCATTACAACCATTAACAAGAAAAAAGAGATTGCTGACACTTTAAAGACGGAGGATTTTTGAGCTAAAGTATTAACTGCTGAGATGTTCAGCATCAAGAATTAAACATTTTGAATGTCTGACAGATAGTGTTTCCAGAAGGCAGGTGTAGAGTTGTTCCTTTTTTATATATAGGTATTTTAATATAGGTACTTTTAAAAGCTAGTCTCAAAATGGCTTCCCCATTGATTGGCTCTAAAGGTGTCCACTGGACATTAATTAAATGTGACAAGTACATATGACTCCAGAGGCGGCCCTAAGTTATTTTCAAAGGTAAGCAAACAGTATTTCCCCCCCCCCCCGCCCCCCCCCCCCCCCCCCCCCCCCAACGAATTACTGATATATATTTTCTGTTCGTCGTGGGAGTTCTGTGTGCCATATTTGGTTCAATTCCATCATTGGTGGAGTTCAGAATGCTTTTTGATTGTAAGTGAACTATACATCCCAGTAACTCGCATATGTCAAGGTCTATTTTCCCCCAAGAGCGCCTCAAGAGCACCCCTGGGCAAAATCAACTATACTGCAAATGCTTACTTTGCGTAATGGGTTGAGCCGCCCCTGTATGACTCCTATAGGTTATGGGGAGATTGATTTTGTTGGCACTTTTCATTAACAGGATTGTTCTGGCCCTTTGCAGAAAACCAGCAAACCTGACCAAAGAAAAAAGAGACAAACAGGTTTTACTTTGCTGAGCCAGATGCTGACTTGAAAAAAAATCAGAAGTGGGTGCTCTGGGGAGCTTTAAACGCATGATATCTAATTAATGGAGCCTCAAAAAATTCCTGTCAGTTTTGAGGTAGTCTAACTACTACCCAAACCCAATTCCTCCCAATTAGTTCAGTAAAATACACATTTCTAGCTATAGAAAGAAGAAAATAGAGCAGTAATCCCTTGCATCTGAAAGCTAAGACACACTTTCTTTTATTTTTTTATTTTTTTAGTATTTGTTTATTTCAATTTATACAACAAAGAAGAAAAAACAGAAAACAGAAGAAGGGGAAAGGGGAGAGGAGTTATTGTTAGTAGATTAAGCCATGACAGATATTAAATACTAGCTTGGGTACCTGATGATGCCCAGGTTATTTGAAAAAGGCATTGTTTTTTTTTGGGGGGGGGGGTGTTAGGTAATATCATTTAGTTAATTAGTAGCACTATTTATTAGAAAAAAGCAAGTTTTTGATTTGGTTTTTTTTAATGTTCCCATTAGAAAATGCATAAGGATGTAGGTGAACTACAATTCCCAAAACCATAGGTCCATTCTCCCCAAACCAGACCTGTATATACAATTGGCTGTATTGCAACTGTGTGCCAAGTTTGGTCCAGATCCAATGTTGGCTGAGTTCAGTGCTCTCTGGATGCTGGTGAGCTACAACTCCCCCAAACCCCAGCAGTATGTTCAGTTAGTTATGGAGCTTCCTGGTCCATTGTCAGTGGGGGTCACAGTTTTTGTGGATACAGGTGAACTAAAACTTCCAGATTCCTTGGGCAATCACCTCTAAACTCTGCCTGTATTCACAGCTGGGCAAGTTGGGTCTGTGTTCCAAGTTTGGTCCAGATCCATTATTGAGGGGGTTCAGAGTTCTCTGGATGCAGGGTGAACTACAACTCCCACACAGGTGGGTCATTCCTTCCCCAACCTATCCAATATGTTCTGTTGGCCATCAGGGTCCCGTGTGCCACATGTGTTCCATATCCACTTTTGGGGGCTTCGGAATGCTCTCTGGGTGCAATCTCTGCCTAATTTGGGAGCACAGGAGAAACAGTTATTCTTCCCTAGGTTACTTAATTACTTACTTACACCATTAAGCTGCATCTCTGGCATTGGAGAGGGATTGCCTGGTGACTGCTGGAACAGCACTTTGGTTTTCTCGATGTTCAATGACAGGCTTAGCTTCTCGTATGCTTCTGTGAAGGTGTTTAGAGTGGCTTGTAGATCTTCTTCTGAATGCGCACAGACGACGTTGTCATCAGCATACTGGAGTTCTATAACAGATGTTGTTGTTATAGGTTATGGACTGGTAAAATCTATACAGTGAACCTTCTGCACAACAAAAGCCACACTACCTGTGATTTTATGTTAAACTCTAGAGACACAACATTCAAGGACTGATATACTGTCTCACCTTAACTGAAAGGATTGATTGTTATAGTGGCATATTCCATCAAATGGTCCTTTGTGCCAATTTCCATGAGTAAGATTACTTTTTCTCTTCCACTCCAGGTGCTGCAAAGCCGTAAGTTTTGGGGCTGCCTCTTGGCAGAGGCCTCTGGCACCCTTATCTTTGTCTGGGTGGTGCTGGGTGCCTCCTGCCCAGCTGGTCCGACAGAGGAGCTCCCTTCCCCACTCCAGCCAGCCCTAGCCGCAGGGATGGTAGCTGTCAGCTTGGCTCACTGCTTTGGAGAGATCAGTGGTGCTCAAGTCAACCCAGCCCTCACCATGGCCTTCCTGTGCACCCGCAAACTAGACGTTTTGCACGCAGTAAGCTATATCACTGCTCAGTGTTTGGGTGGCATCATAGCATCTGGAATTTTCTATCTTATGCTGCCCACCACAACCATTGGACATTTGATCACAAAGGTGAGTTGACAACCTTCTTAGTCTGTCTTCCTTTTTCCCTCCTTCTCTTTATGGTCTCCCACACCCATCATTAGATAACCAAGGAAATGAAAGTTTACTCTGTCTTCCTTAGCCAACAATAAGGCTAAACATATTTCATTACATGGATCAGCCATAGTGTATGACACATGTGTCAAACGCAAGGTCCATGGTCCAAATCTGGCCCGCCATGTTATTTTATGTGGCCCTCCAGATGCTGGGCTACAACTCTTGTATTCCTCATCATTAAACATAATGATTTGTGCTGATGGGAGTTGTGATACAATGCAAGATGGATAGATGTTACCCTTGAAGTGACTGGCTTGACTTTGAAGGAGCTGGGGATGGCCACAGCTGACAGGGAACTCTGACGTGGGCTGGTCCATGAGGTCATGAAGAGTCAGAAGTGACTGAATGAATAAACAACAACAACAACAATTTTTGTATCTGTTTGCTGTAAATATCATAATGTAAAGTAGGCTTAGACTTGGACAAAACTGGTACTAAGATTGGAGAAAACCTCAGAGCCACAAGTGTTATTAGAGTTGTAAACTATTTGTGAACTATCTTGAAATGGGGCCAAATTAATATCTAAAGAAGTACCCCCTGAAACTACCAGCTCTTGCCTGACCTTGGGGGCTAAGCAGGGTTAGCCTTTGTTAGTACTTGGAAAGAAGATTCCAGAAATACAGAGTGCCTTTAGAGATGTATGTAAAAAGTCACTAGGTGCTAATATGTTTCTTTTACAGTGCACATGCTCTGTTCTTCCTCCTTTCCCTTTTCTCTCTTGTTTATCACTCATTCAGGTCAACAGTGAGGGAAATGCTGGGCAGGCTTTAGGAATGGAGGTTTTTTCCACCTTCCAGCTGGCTCTTACTATCTTTGCTGTGGAAGACCATCGGAGGCATGAAACAGGCGAGCCGGGGATCCTGGCCATTGGCTTCTCCGTGGTGGCAGGAGCTCTCGCTGCAGTAAGAGCCCTCAGAGCCAAGCAAGATGTTCCTTTAGTGGGGGTGGGGGTGGGGGGGAGAGAGACATTATATTGTCCCCCTCCAAAGTCAAATCCATTTTGGGAGAGGACCTGGGGGACACATTCCACTAATGCAGTGGTTCCCAACATTTTTTGAGTCGTGACTCCATTTTATAGAAGCAAAGTGACTCACAACCCAATAAATTAAAAATAGGTTAATTTCTAGTCCACCTTGTGGCTCATTTTTGAGGAAAAGGCGGAATATAAATGGTGATGATCACCCTTCTCTCCTATCAGAAAAAAATGAGAAAGGCTCAAAAGCAGCATCTGGCTCATTGATGCCAGGTTCCCATTCCCATCCTCGCTTGAAGGTATTGGCTAGAAAATATATTTCAACTGAATGGCAGTCATGCCCCGCAGCAGCATTCTAGGCAAAATACTTGGCTCATGTAACTCCAAGATATCCACACCATACAACGAAAGACTGTTTTGGACATGTTTCACTTATTATATGGTAGTGTAGACTCATATAGTGCGGTTCAATGCAGTTAAACTGCATTATATGGCAGCATAGATGCCTCAATTTTCACAGACACATATACTTTTGTTGTCTTTGTAAATCTTGAGGGATTGCCAGATCATTGTCTTGATTTCACTGTTTACCAGGTATTATTGACCATCAAATGTAATCAAATTCAGATTCTAAGAATCTATGAAATAGTGAGATATCATTGAATCTTTTATATGCAAAAATTATATACCTGCATACAGCATATGGAGCAAACCCTTTCTAAGCTCAGGCTCAAGCAAAGGAAAAATTATATACCTGCATACAGCATTGTATGTACTCACTAAGTCACAATTAACACTGACAAACCATGGACTGTGCACACATAATAATTTAATAAGGAAATATATGTCTGATTGAAGGGGGATTCTGTTTGCAGAATCTGGGCTTTTGTTGCTACTGTTAAAACACACACACACATTCTATACATACTGCATTATACTTAAACGATTATTTGCAAATTGACTGAATACAAAAATATAGGAATGTGTTATTTTGAAATCTCATTCTCTCTCACACCAGTACCTATTTGATCTGGGGTACTTCATAAATGACAAATGATAATGATAAACACCAATGATAGTGATAAAAAGAAGCAGGATTTTTTAAAAAAAGATAAAGTCAGTTCATGGAACAAAGAAGACCATTGATATACCATAATTGATTGTGCTAATGTGATGCTTTTATAGGGCGCTTTCTCTGGGGGCAGTATGAACCCAGCCCGATCATTGGGACCTGCAGTAGTCACCGGAATCTGGAAGCATCACTGGGTAAGCAGATGGAAACACTATCCTCCATTTGGCATCATGCATTTGGATAGTTTTCCCTTCTCCGAATTTGATAATTGAGGAACTGGGCATGCTTACATATTGTGACTGTTGTGAATATAGTTCACTTTAAGATGTGATTGCAACCAGTACCTCCTTTGGGTTCTCTACCTTTGTGTTACCAGCTGGAATCACTGAGGGCCCTGCTTTGAACTGGATTATCCGAGTCCACACTCAGATAATGTGGGATTTTCCGCCTTGATATTCTGGGATATAGGGCTGTGTGGAAGGGCCCTGAGTCCCACCTAAGGCATTGTTTGCCCGTCTCTCTTGATCCCCCATCAAAGTAGTTCAACTGCAAGGTGGTAAAACTGTCACCATATCAATCTCAATGACTTTTGTGCACTCTTCTCTCCCTCACACTCTTTCCCTGGAAGATGACTTATTGCTTCTAAGCCAACTTTGTGCTCTTTGTGCTTTATCTCTGTCTCTCACTCAGCTGCTCCCTTTCTACTTCTTTTCCAGGTGTACTGGCTTGGACCCACAATGGGTGCAATCCTTGCTGGAGTATCCTATGAGTTCTTCTTGGCTCACAGTGCTTCACGAGAGAAGCTAGTTGCTTGTCTGACCTGCCGTGACATTGAAATTGTGGAAGCAGCCAGTATGTCTCGTTCATCGCTTTCTGCGTCTGCCAAGCCACCTTGCAAGGGAGAACTTGGCTCTGAGTAGGACACAGTAGCATCAATGACTACCACTCATCTTCTTACTGCCTATCTGTCACCTTATTAGCATTTCCTTACCATGTCACCCATTTTTATCGTACATGTATATGACTGGTTGGGCCCTGGCACTGAGGTGGTTCTGAAATGTGAAGCCCTTTAGGTGACACTACACATAGAAGTAGCAGCAGAGTGGAAACTGGAAGGGGTTTCTGTACATGTATTGGTTATGTAGAAAGAGGGAATTCCAGCAGGTAACAAGCTAAAATTCTGGATTTTATATGGCAGTGTAGATCCAGCCTTAGTTCCATCAGCTGTTGTACACATATTGTCTTTTGCCTCTCACAGCAAATGTCTGAGGCAAAATATTTTCAGTCAGCCTTGCAGCACAAGAAAACAGGATTTCTCTCATCCTACTTAAAGAACATGAAGGGATAACACTGGAGGAAGCCTAGAAGCCAGGATTTCTGGGCTCTTTTTATCCCTGGATTGAAACAGGGGGAACTAAGAAATAGGGGGATTTCTGGCTTGTGTCTCAAGACTGACGTGATGATGAAGACTGACATGATGAAGAAGAAGTTGAGAACTTGAAATTAGGCCTCTGGAATTTCCTTTCATATTCTGACACTGTTTTATCTAAATCCCCTTGGCATGTCCGTTCCCCTTCACCTTGTTCCCTCTCCCCTCTGTAGCATTGATCAGAGAACATCCCCAAAAGTCCTACAGCACCCCTTTGTTCTCTCTTCCACATGGGTGGAGTTCAACAACAGGCATAAGTCAACCCCTGCAGTAATCCTGATGCACAATAAAATGGGACACTGCATCAGAGTGTGTTTGGTGTGGTGTATATATATTGATTCCCTCTCCATGTCCCTCGAACAAGCTGAGCCCGGTAAAATGCTGAGTTCAGCAAGTCCCATTGTCCTCATCTCTTTCAGGCCTGGCAGTTTTTGCCCATCCTGCCCAATTACCGAATGGGCTGGTAAATCCTCTGGAGCCCAGAGAAATTTGGAGCCTCTTGAACAACTCTGACTAAACCTCTGCTCCAAATTGCTGTGGTGACAAATATCCTAGAGGCCTTGTTCTGAGCATGTGTGTGTGTGTATCTTTAGTTTTATCTTCATTCCTTTTGTTGGGCCATTAACCTTTGATAACAGGCCTGGTTTGTGCCATGGCCGCAAGACTGACCCTTCCATTGGGGAGACTGAGGCATCTACTGCTAGAAGCAGCCTGCTCCATACACAGAGCGATCCACAATGGGAGTTGTATACCAGGAATGGCAAATAAGTGCTCTATTAGTGGAAAATCAATTCATCATCATCATATAATCATAGGCTATTACTTGTGGCTGGGTATGACTGTCTTCCAAGGGTAGAGTCTTGGCGGTGGGTCCGTAAATCAATATAGAGACCGTTTCAATGGATGAAGCAGGTTGTAGTATGATGACTGTAGGCCTTGAGGGGACAGTAAAGCAATCCATCAAAACAGCATCACTAGATTATTTGCAAAGTCTTCTTTCATGTTTTCATTCTACAATGATGGTGGTCATTGGGATTGGAAGCTAGGGAGTCATATCTTCCAACTATCCTGATTGAACAGGTATATAATAATTACCAGTAATTCTTTTTCAACAGCTTTGAAAATGTCCCAGTCCCTCTCCCCTCCTTCTACTTTCTTCTTTCATCCTGAGCTTCCTCTGCTACAAATGAAGTTCAAAATTCAAATAAACTCAGAAGATGGGAGAAGAGAGGAGGAGGCAATCTTGCTCTTCTTGGCAGGCTACTTTTTTGTTCTTTCTTTCAAGGCTTTCCTAATCTCAGTACATACATTACCAGGTTTCCTAAATATTAATTTTGCACATTCTTCTCTATTAAAAACAAACCACACTCTTCTAACCACAGTCAGATCTTGCTCGGCCACACGGTTCAACATTAATGTGTGAAATGTTGGACCATATGAGGAGTGTGACAAGTGTCTGCAGAGGTGTAGAGAGATGTTATGTGATTTCACCTCCACTAAAATTGCAGGTTTGAGACCCGGAATGCCAAACTTCCAAAGGACCAGATAAGACACAGGTGGACCAAAGGCAAAATCAGGGGCTTTATTCTCAATGGCCAGTGAGATCAGCGAAGAGAGCACTCCAAATAACTGACATATCTCCATGCACACATTCAGATATATTTCTAAGACCTTGACAGCAGTTTGAAACAAAGGACTTCTGCTGCCCTGAATGTCAATTGGTCCAAATTGCGGCAGGCTAGGATCTGGTTGGCTGAGATGCACTGTCTGTCGTTGCTGCCAATTGATTGGGGGGAAATTTAGTAAAATATTATTGGTATATTTGAAGGCTCTTGTCTGTTTCTGGGTTCCCCTAGGAACAAGATGCACTCATAAAGGAATGCAATTGATCAAGAGTTAATGGACCTTGATGTCCCAGTTTCAGAATTAAACAATGGGTGCCACCCAAACAAAGAGTAGTTCAGGGTTTTGGCTGATACAATGAGGATCTCACAGAGCGGGCTTGATACACTATAGGTGAGGAAACATTTCCAGGATAAACAACATTTAGAAACCCCTTGTGGCTCTTCTGAGAAATCAATTGAGTGTTCCCTGAGTCTTGTGAAGGGATTTTGATAATTATGAGATTAAATCCTGAGGTCTGAGGTGTGATAGGGTAACATTCCAGGGAAACTCATAAAAAGGACAAATTGAAAAGACAATGCGAGCCTGCTGTATGTCCAAATGAAGCCGTGTTTCATAATTAATAATTTTAGTGTCTAATTTTCAATAACAGGGACAAAATTGAGAGATTGCTCCAAATAAGAATTCTAGCCAGTTTAAATTATCTTTCTGCCCCCAGATTTCTAGCTTTGCAATAACTTAAAACTTAATCTAAGCATTCGGCAATACAGGCAGGAAAAGAGAAGACACAATAACAAGGGAACAAAAGCATAGCACATGTAAGAAGAGCTCTAACTGTGAATTCTTTTCAGTGCCTCACTCAGCAGAAATTTAGGGCCTGAAGGAAAACTTCACATAAGTCTTCTTTGAGGGGAATCAATACCGTAATTTTGCCATTCCTCATACTATACCCTTAGCCTCTTGTGGAAGTGCCGATAAACCAACAGCTCTTTCCCCCGCCATCATTTTAGGCAGTAAATTTTATCAAGTAATTTGCAGGAAACATTGAATATATTTTCCCATAAAATAGTGTACATTATAATTAGGCACATCAAGTATTTCGGATAACTCATGGCTCTGATTTTGGCAAATGAGTGCAAATAATATTTGGATGATGCTGGCTAGGACTACTAGCTGCTGCAGTTTGAAATATTTTGTACAAGTCACATCTCCAGTTTGTTTAATGCTGGCAGCCATCACAGACCATGCCATCAGTTTTGGAATGAGCATTTGAGTGCCCCCACATAATGGTGTGCTAAAGCTGCTCTACTGAGTGTACTTTGTATTCCTGTGTGCATCTACGTATGGCATGGAGAAGCATGCTTTGCATTCTACCAACGAAGTAAGGCTTCTGTTCTATCCTGCATGATGTAGTGGTTTGAATATTGGACCAGGCTCTGGCAAACAGGGTTTGAATTCACACTTAAACCCTCTAGGACAGTGGTTCTCAACCTGTGGGTCCCCAGATGTTTTGATCTTCAACTCCCAGAAATCCTAACAGCTGGTAAACTAGTTGGGATTTCTGGGAGTTGTAGGCCAAAACAGCTGGGGACCCACAGGTTAAGAAACACTGCTCTAGGCCCTCTGGAGAAGGCAAAGGCAAGCCTCTTCTGAATAAATATTGCCAACAAAACCCCATGATAGGATTGATCTGAGACAAACTATGCACAATTAAAGCAGTAGAAGCATCAAGAATTTACAGATCTAGGACCTCTTCACACAGGGCTAAAATTGGCGGCATGCGCCGGATTAGCCATCTAATGATGCCAGCAGGGCTCCAAAGGTGAAGTAGGGTGGAGCCAGCACATGCCACCACCAGGGCAACATTAGAGGCTTCCCTTGTTGCCATTGGAATCCATAGGCGAGAGCTGCATGCGCCATTCGCACTCCATGCTTCCCTCCATGGGATTGCCCTTTCCTCAAGCTGGGCAATGCAGGGCATGGGGCACCAGATTCCCCACGTCCCAGGATGGCGCGCAGTGTAGCTCCAACCAGGGGCGGGGAGACTTCAGACTTAGGTTGCTCTATATTCTAGGATCTGATCCCAGATTAACTGCTTTGAACTGGAATATAGATCATGTCTACCTTCTAAGGTGTGTTTCTTACCTGCAATAAAAAATTCCACATTTCCTGTTGTAGAAGGAAAGAGATCAAGCTGGTACAGCATCCAAGTGGTGTAGTCTTGCTATAAAAATGAGGTTGATACAATAAAACCAAGTCCAATGGGAAATCATCAGCCTCAGTAATAATAAAATATAATAATAATAATGCTTTATTTATATTACGCTCTATCTCCCCGAAGGGACTCAGGGCGGATTAACCATGAGCGCTGCTTCTCATGTTGCACAGTTGTGTCCAAAGCCGACTCCTTGAAATAAATAAGACATATTAGTTGTGAACTGATAATATCTTAAGTTCCATTGATTGCAAACGCTTTATATTTTTTTATTTATCGTGTTAGAAGATAATTGAGCATACAGTTAGAATGTATAGAAAAACCACAAACAAAGTTAAAGACTTGGCATACTAAACCTGACTATTTCAGGAGCGGAGCCAACAATCCCTGTGAGTTTAGTAGAAAGATAATAATTAGCCTCTCTCTTACCAGCTTGATTTGTTCCCAGTTTGTGAAAAAAGAATGCCAAACTACCTTTTCTAGACAAAACTTTCTTTGGAGTTTGGGCAATCTGAGGAGGCCAGAGAGACTGCTGTCAGTCTAAAGGTCATCACTTGTATTCTGAACCAAATCTAGTTGCCTGGGCATCTCTTACCAAAACTTAGAGAATTCCTTGTTTTGAACAACAACTTCATTAATTCCTTAGCCAGCACCGTCAGTATCTTTGCTGGCTAGGGGCTTTGGGGGGAAATTCATCTAAAAGAGGGGGGCCTAAATATCCTAAAGGTAACATTCCCTGTATGTTCTTCTAAGCTAAACAGGTTCAGCTCTGGTTAGCACTTGGAGGGGGTCTGCCAACACATATCTGTAGGAATCCTCAAAACAGACTTTGGAAAAGGTAAAACCATCTCTGATAATTCTTTATTTAAGAAAACCCTACAAAATTCACAGTACTGCTACAAGTCAACAGGCACTTGAAGACATCTATAGCCAGCCCTCTGTATGCGAGAGTATAAGCATCTACAGATTTAACCAACATGGCTCAAAATATTCCACTACTTTAATAGGTACAGTGACAACTCTGCAAAAAGTACCGTTTCATATGCATATCCACAATGCGATAGGACCATTTGAACTTCGCTAAAAATTCCTTTTCGAAATTCTCTCTGTACAGGGAGCAGAATGGAGGTTCATTTCCCTATATTTCCCAAATACTTACACATCAGAGAATACACTGCTCCCCTAACACAGAGTTTGCTAAAACATTCTTAGGGTATGGATGCATCCAAATAACACTAACAAGGAACCCTAGAATGAAGACTCTTCATTGAGAGATGGATGATCTTCTGGGAAAGCTGGAAGGGATCAATGCTTCAATGGCAGTAGAAGATTCTGGGAACCCTCATACTCCTCCAGCCCTTTATAAGGGTCTTACAGTCTCCCCATCTGGTTAGTCAAGAGTTAAGAGGGTTCAGTGCATTGAGTGAAGTTCCCACCTCCTGGGCTGGGCTAGTCTAGGGAGCCTTATAAAGCTCCCAACCCCAAAACAGAGTGGTGGTTTTAAGTGTGTGTATGGAGCAGGTGTAAGACTGAGGACTGTCCTACTGGCACTGAAGACCACCTTCTCCTGCCCGGCCATGTGGGAGGCACGCTCATCCTCCTTCTGGAGGGCTATCTTTGCTGAGTTCTTTGGCACATTGATCTATGTACTTTTTGGGCTGGGGGCCTCGTTGCGTTCGATCATGGGCCCCTTGAACATTTTGCAAGTGGCCCTGGCCTTTGGTTTAGTGGCAGCCACTATGGTGCAGTCTATTGGCCACGTGAGTGGGGCCCACATCAACCCAGCTGTCACCGTGGCCTTCTTGCTGAGCGCTCAACTTTCCATCTTCCGTGCTGTCTTCTATGTGGCTGCCCAGGTGCTGGGAGGAGTGGCCGGTGCGGCTGTGCTTTATGGAATTACGCCAGTGGCAATGAGGGGTAACTTGGCCCTCAACACGGTAACTGGATCAGGCAGGGGTGCTGGGAAATGTGGGGTTTTCTTTTTTTTGGTTGTTGGAGCTCTTTGTTGTAGGCTTGCAACAACCTGCAGCTGAGTGATATCATGAGATAGCATTTGCTGTGTGCAGAAAACCCTCTAAAGGACTATAAAGAGTGTTTGGCGAAATCTGGATCATTAGTGACAATGCCAGAAGTGACAACATAAGAGAGAGTGGTGTTGTTTTTGAGCATCTCTTGTCAGGGAGTCTTTAATCCTCAAATTTATAAGAACAAACTCTCCAGCCTAGAGCCTGAAGCAAGTAAGATCTATGTGCTTACATAAGAGATGCAAACGAGTTTCGGTCCTAGATATTTTCTAGGATTGATAGAGGCTGAACAAAATGGGTGTTGGGTTTGAAAGCAGAGAATACTCTGATTGTATACATGGTTTTCCCTTTCCTTCCTTTGTTGGCCATGCCAGTGTATATGTACCGTATACTGTGAAGAAGAGAAAAAAGCTACACATCGAGGGCCCTTCCACACAGCCCTATATCCAGAATATCAAGGCAGAAAATCCCACAATATCTGTTCTCTGAGTCCACACTCAGATACTGTGGGATTTCCTGCCTTGATATTCTTGGCTATAGGGCTGTGTGGGAGGGAGGGCCCTCAGAGACTGAGAGGGAAATTTCTTTTGTGAGGTTACGAGTGGTATTTATGAGATCATTACAGTACCACTTTGGTTACAATCTATTCCATAATCCTACTAAAATTTAACACAAAGAGCTGTTTTTGTGTGTGCAATGTTTTGCTGTGTGTGAGATTTTTCACAAAATCCGGGAAAAGCCTTTTTGTCTCCTGCCTGGCAATTGAACAATGCCCTCAAAGCACTATTATTGTCAGACATAATGCGGAAAGGCAAGGCTTAATCCCACAGCAACTGAGAATGGGAGACCAAAAAGGATGTTGGGGCAACAGGCGGCCCACACTTCATGCCTGCTACAACCAATTCGTGTTTTCGATTACAGATAGATAGCAGGAAATCTCAAATTAAACTTTTTATGTGTGAAAGCACATTCCATCTCTTGATGCAAGCCCACGTGTGATGTGCTAGCTTCATAACTTGGCCTTCTTTCAAAATCCAAGGGTTTGGCTTGATTTTTTGCTGGGCTGGCTTCTTGGTAGGATGCCTTGTGGATTCCACTTCACTATCAGTGAAGCAAAGCACTGCTTATTGCAAAGCAAATCTCCTTGAGCTGAACAAGATTCCCCAGTATGTAAACCATAGGATTATACTTAAAGCTTTTCTATGCTGTATTTTGAAAAAAGAAACAAAAAGTCTTTAGCATTCGTGTTTCCCTTAGTTTTATGGGATCAAGAGGCATTTTCCTCAGTGCTGCTTCAGAACTTTGCATTCTGTGTTGGATATAGTTTGTTTCGCTTAAGGGAAATGGTTTCACTAGTATCTGTATTTTGGGCAAGTGTTCCTAACATTTTTCTTCATGAATTGACTATGCATTTGTTAATTATACTGGCACCTCACCTAGCTGGATTTAAATATTTTTCACTATTTTTGGTCAAAAGAGTAAGATGATTTTTCTATTATACCCATCAGTAGATGTGGAGGGTTCAGAGAAACTCACTTTAGGGCAGTGGTTCTCAACCTGTGGGTCCCCAGATGTTTTGGCTGTCAACTCCCAGAAATCCTAACAGCTTGTAAACTGGCTGGGGTTTTTGGGAGTTGAAGGCCAAAACATCTGGAGACCCACAGGTTGAGAACCACTGACCTAGAAGGTCATCTTCTATGTCTTCACCAAACATATTTGAGAAGGTGGGGTCAGTCTGAAGAGTGCATCTGCAGCATAGAATTAATGCAGTTTAACACTACTTCAACTGTCATGGCTCAATGCTATGGAATCCTAGGAAGCTCCAGCAGTTTGGATAGTGACATTGTAAAACTGCAATTCCTATGATTCCTTAGCATTGAGCCATGGCAGCTAAAATGGTTTCAAACTGTATGAATTCTACGATGTAGATGTGGTCTGAGAAAAATCCCACCCACAGCAATTTCATATAACAGTAATATAACCTGTTGGATAGTCACAAATAGAACCACTGCTTTAGGGTATATCCACCAGTGGAAGAGGAAGCAATATCGCAATTTCTTCTATGTTTGCAACTCTGGGTCTGAACTGTTAGTCCCAACAAAAATAGACCCTTTGAATCTGTGGGCTTTCTGCATGTATTATGGTTTTATTCTAATTGGGACTAATCAACAAGATTTTGATTGTTGTTTAATCTTGATTCAGCAAATCTCAAATTTATACTGCAAATTTGAACCATGTAAATATCAGTTATCTACGTAAAAAAATTTTTTTTAACAAATCACAAATATGTATTAAATTTTGAATACAAACATAACTTTGTCTTAATGTGCTTTAGAGTTCTTCTGTTTACCTAAAATCGCATATACTCTCATGTTTGAAGAATTGGGACCTCATTGCATTATTGTTTATCCGATTTCTGCGCTTGATTACCTGCTTATAGTTGGTTTTTAGAATTGCTGAGCAACATCTCTTGACAAAGCAGTGTTTTTCCACTGGGATTGTCTGGCCTCACATTTCCCCTAGAAATTTTTATATTCATTTATCAGGATTAGGGCTGTGCTATCATGGAGCAGCAGCAAGCGTATTGAGTATTTGTAGTTGTTGCTTTTGTGTGCCTTCAAGTCATTTCTGGATTTTTTTTCCTTTGTCAATTCATGGTTTAAAATTTATATTTCTTAAACTCCCAAAAAGGAAACCTTCATTTTGCCGTTTTATAAAAGGGACACATGCCATTGTATATAATGGGACTTGAGCATACATAAATTCTGGCATCTATGAGGGATCTTGAAGTGAAACCCTAGCGGATGGCAAGGACCTACTGTAATTAAATATTGTATTAAGAAGTCCACACCCAATTTTTAATCAACATTGCCTTCAACAGATGTGCCAACCAGGTGAACTACTGGGCAAATTAGCTTGTATATGGGGCAAGTCTGATGGAGATGAAATGTTGTCTCTGTTGTTTCATTATTCCGCCTTTGTGTGTGTCTCCTTGGCTGTAGATACACCCCAGTGTAAATGTAAGCCAGGCCACTGTCGTGGAGATCTTCCTGACCCTGCAGTTTGTCCTCTGCATCTTCGCTACTTATGACGAGAGACATGACGGGCGCATGGGATCTGTGGCACTGGCTGTGGGACTCTCCCTCACTCTTGGACACCTCTTTGGGGTAATGGATTCAGTTTACAAGAAGCTGCTTTCCTTTTGGCAGCATGTAGACAGAACAGCTAAGTATTAGTAGGGTCTAATACAAGCCTAGGTGTCCTAGGTCAGTGTGAGTACTGATAACTAGCTCAGGAAGGCCAACCAAAATTCTACATCAGGAGCGGGAAGCAAACTTCTGGGCTGCAAGTCTCAACAGTTTTTTTGTCAAGTTGGATCTTAGGAATAGTGTAGTCGTGGAGAAAATAATTACTTATGGTCAGTGCATAGTTCTGGGGTAAACAGAGCACAGTTATACCACTATTATTATATCTTAACTGCCATGGTTCCATCCTGTGAGATCCTGGAAAACTTCTAAAACGCCCCTCCCTACACTGCAATTCTCAGGATTTCATAGGATGCAATAATGGCAGCTAAAGTGGAATTATAGTGAAATAATGGCATAATTGCACGAGCCTCAGGAGACAGTATTAGGTCTCAATTTTCATTAGGACTAGGCAGTGGCTCAGCACCCACCTTTGCTTCAGAATAGGAGTTGTCAGGACCCTGAAAGGAAGTTCCAGCTGCTATCTTCCACAAAGATCAAGGTTTCTCCTGATATGCCCCAATTTTTTTTTCTGTATGACACAGCCTGCTTTTCCATATTTAGTTTGTGAATCTCCAGGCCATTCAATGGAGAGGATTCCTCCAGTGGTAGTGTAACAGAAATATACACATGGTACCAGCTGCAATGCATTTTACCAGCTGTAATACGCCTGCAAAACTAAACAATTCTATATGTACTTCCCCAATTCTACCTTGCTTCTAGGGTCAACTCCATACAGTATGACCTTCCTTACACTTAATGCTAACTTATGTGACTATTCTTCATTTTTGTTTGCAAAACGAAGAAATTTGGCTCCTTTGCAAAAGGCTTTAAATTTTATTTTTTGTATATAGCTACATCTGCGAGTGAAAGACAAAAAAAAATACTGAAATTATAATTGTTAATAAATATGTTTGCAGTCTCTCCATGTCACTGTGAAATTGTAGAGGATGAGAAATGTCACTCACACACGTTTGAGAATCCCACTATGTCTTTAGTTAGGGCTGCCTGATGTCCAGGGAACAATAGTTTATCCAACCTAACCCTCCTCTCTTGCAGATGCACTACACTGGAGTTGGCATGAACCCCGCTCGTTCCTTTGCACCAGCTATCATCACCCGTAACTTCGTCAACCACTGGGTAAGGAGGAGGTTTCCAGGGGTAAGAAAGTAGGCTGGCATAGGTGTGTAATAACATGTCTAAGAGTTGTTGGAGAATGCATAAAGCTGATCACACTTGAATCCAGCAAGCCGATACCCATCATGTTCTGGGGAAACCCCTTTTAAGCACAGAAAACATGGAACTCAATACGACTCTGCCTGATTTTATTGAGGAAGTAAAACAGCTGGCAGATTTAGATAGATAAAAATTTCAGACTATGAGAAGAGTTTAAATTATAATATTTGCTTTAAGGAATAATTTAGATTAGTACTGATATAAAAGTATCCTACAGTTCGATGTTTTGTGGTTGTTGTGTGCCTTAAAAGTCATTTCTGATTTATTGTGAGCCTGAGGTGAACTGATAACAGGGTTTCCTTGGTCAGCAGGGCTTTACTATTGCAACTCCTCTGAGGCTGAGAGAGCATGACTTGACCACAGCCACTCACTTGGTTTCTACGATCTCTAGAGTCATAGTTCAGCACTGAAACTGCAACACCATGATGGCTTTCACACTTCTGTGGGCGGTTCCAGACAGGACTTTAATTTGCGCCCAGTCGGGTTAAAAAAAAACCTACTGGGCCCGCATTAATCCCCCCCCCCCGAAAATTCATGTTTTTCTGAGGGGGGGGGGTCCTGATGCCCTGCCAGACGTTCCAGCAGGAAACCCAGACACAAAAGAAAACCACCAAGAAAAACCTTTAAAAGAAAAAATAACTTACCTGGCCAGCATTTCCCTGCTGCCGGGAAATGAGGCACCAGTAGAAAGAGAGGCCTGGAGCAATTTTCTTCCTTCCCCTTCTCCTGGCCCATCATTTCTATGCGCCAGGAGAGGGCTGGCAGCAGGAAACTGATGGCCGGGTAAGGTTTTTTTTTTCTTTTTAAGGTCTTTTAAAGGGGTTTTGGGAGGGGGTGGGGCTGTCTTGGGTTTTTCAGTTCCAGGAGCCCAAAAATCTCGAGACAGCTGTGTGGGTTGGAACCGGAAGGCACACAACGTGATCCCTGGGCCCAGTTCACACAATGCCTACAGCTGGAAAGACCTTGGCCTTCTGAAAGACCTGGGTTTTTCCAGCTTTCAAATTACTTCAGCATAAAGTAAGGTTTTTCTGCTTTGTGCCAAAGGAATTCGTTTTTACCTGAGGTGTCATTTGGACGCCCCAAGTAAAAATGTGGGCAATGTGCATTTTCCACTCTCTGTGGATGCACCCGGCATTACCACAGATGAAATAGAGACAGCATTGACAAATCAGATGACCTGAAAGGTCAGCAGATTGAAAAACTAATGATTTTGAATAGAGCTGCTGACACAAGCAGAGCAAAAATGCTGTGGCCATCTGTTCTCATTCTCTGTTGACTAAGTAAAGCAATCTTTCATGAGTCTCTTTCATTCTGCACAATTATAGCACTTTGTTACTTTAATTTCTATGACTTCTCTATAGAGTTTTGAGGTTTGTAATTTAGAATTTACAACTAGGGAGCCCTACTTTGTGTGGACTACCTAAGGCCCCTTTCTAAGGCCCCTTCCACACAACTATATAAAATCCACATTGAACTGGGTTATATGGTAGTGTGGATTCAGATAATCCAATTCAAAGCAGATATTGTAGATTATATGCCTTGATATTCTGGGTTATATGGCTGTGTGGAAGGGCCCTAAGACACCCAGCTCGCAGGCCTGTAGCCAGATGGTGGGGTTTAAGGGTTCAACCCTTCCCTCCCAAAATATTTCAGGTTTTAAAAACCTGGTTTACTCCTGAATGGATTGGCCAGTTAAAATTAAAGAGGAAACCAGGCTTTTTTTAAACCTGAAGCATCGCCAGGGGATGGGGGGGAGCACACTCCCCCTCCTGGCTACAGGCCTGGCTTTTTGAATCCATGGACTCTTCATCCATGGATTCAGCCATCTGTGGCTAAAAATATTTTTTCAATTAATTAAAGAGCACACGAGGATTTTGCCACTTTATATAAGGAAAGCCATTTTACTAGGCCATTGTATATAATGGGGATTGAGTGTCCATGGATTTTGGTACCCACAGGAAGGTCATGGAACCAAACTCCAGCAGATCCCAATGCCTACTGTATCTGATAGCTTTATCCAAGTGCTTCTTTCTCTTTTCTAGGTGTTTTGGGTTGGACCAGTCATTGGTGGTGTGCTGGGTGGCTTCTTGTATGACTTCATCCTCTGCCCTCGGAGGCGCGGAATCTCAGAGCGCTTGTCTATCCTCAAAGGAGAACACCAAATTGAAACCCGTGCACCCCCAGAACCTCCTGGAGAACCTGTTGAGCTGACAACGCAAGCATTATAAAAATTGTGATTCAGTCTCTATCTCAAAAGAAAAGCAACCCCCTACAACAAACTTAGGACACTAGAATGGGTGGGGTGGGGAGTGGATGGAAATGATGCCATTGCCTGATTTTTAAATAATTTCTTTTGCAGTGAGAACTCTTGGATACAAGTTTTATGGCACGGGGAAGTTGTAGGGGAAGAATTCCAGCTGATCTTCTCCTTTGAAGTCCTGGGAAATTTCAAAGCTGCCACTCTGTGTGCAATTATACATGTAGTGTCCTTGCCAGTTGGGTGCACAATGTGTGGGAGCGTGTTTGTGCACATATGTGTAAACTTTATAATGCAAAGGAAGCCTCCAAACAACCTTTGTATTCCTTTCCTTTCTCTCCAGTCAGCTGCCACAGTCAACCCCAGAACCTCCTGGAGCAATCATGACTGGCACTGCGTACTGCAATTAATATTGTTGGAGGCAGCATTTTGTCTAGGACAATATTGGGAGACCAAATACTTTGCTTCTTCTCTCTCCCGGCTCCTCCTAAAACTCCTGACTCCACCCCCATCTTGTGGGTTGTGCCAACAAGGTATAAGCAGCTAACAAGTGGATTAGGGGGATTGAATGGGAAGGCACAGTAGAGGAGAAAAAGTGGCATGCCCCTTTCCTATTCGTTCCCAGTGGAGAAGCTTCCTCCTTGGAGAAGTTGAGTAGAAATAGAGGTGTGTATTTTATTGGGCAGGGGGAGACAATGGGCCTCTGTTTATATTTGAGGATAAGTGATTTATATACTTGCTTATTTGTTGTGTTTATGTAAGTGTATATATGTGTGTGAATTATAAGGAAGAGCAGGGCCAATGTTTGCAACCTAGGCCAGCTGCTGATGCCTATGCTGGATTCCCTGTAATTTGTTTCCTTCTTGACCTGTATTCTGAGGAGCTTGTTGACCTGGCTTCAGTCACCATTTTAATTTTCAACCATGCTCCAATGTAATGTTGTTCTAAAGCAGAGGTCCTCAAACTTTTTAAGATGGGCCAGTTCAGTTGAGGGATTGCACACTGCACATATCATATTTGTAGAGCAAAACATGTGAAAAAAAACAATATAAAATTTAAAATAAAGAAGAATGTTAATCAACACAAACTTACCAGTACTTCAATGGGAAGTGTGGCCCTGCTTTTGGCTGATGAGATAGTCAAGTTAATTAGGATTGTTGTTGTGTGCCTTTAAGTTGTTTCAGACTTAGAGCAGCTCTATGTCTGAAGTTTTGGGGCCAAATGACCTTGAAGGGCTTTATCCAGCCCACAGGCCTTTGTTTGAGGACCCCTGGTTTAAGGTGTTGTGGGATGTTAAAATGGTAGCTCAGTGTGAACCATCCTGCGTGATTGCCTGCCCCTGCCACAGAGTGAGCCTCCAAAGGTCAACAGAGAGTGAAAAGGACCCCATTGAGTATGTTTTGCTTACAGCCCCATCACACCTTGAGCTGATGCAGGGAAAAGGCAACATTCCCAGATATGGCCATTTTAAACATTATAGGTAGCTTTCTAGTTAAAGAAAAGAAAGGAGGGAATCAGTCACCATTCTTGGCTTATTGATTAGAGCTAGAAACCAAAGCTGGTGAGGCAGATGAGATGGGAAGTTTCTTACTATGGTACTTTTCCCACAGTGCCCTGGGCAACTGATAGAAATCATTGGGCATACTGATAGAAATTTATAATGGTAGCTGGAAGCTCATCATGGCAAAGCCCTGTTCCTTGGGCCAGCCTTCAAACCAAGCCTGTTTCTTGAGAAGAATGGCTTTTGACTTTTTATTTATTGCTTTAGTGTATCTAATTTGTGTATTGTCTTTCTTCCATAATGTACTCTTTTTGTCTTCTTTACTTAATAATCTGTACAGGGCTCAAAGATGGTGCTAGGATACAATCTGACTTATTTTTTGCCAGACCTGAAACCTCCTAACTTTTCAAAAGACATAATTCAGATTTGCTTACTTCTTCTCTACTCAACTACTGCAATTACAAAGAATAGGTCTCTATTATAAAGAATGCAAAAAATGAAAATGTTGATCCTGTCACAGAATTTGAATCTGGTCAGTAAAATAAGCTGCTTACCAGAGAATATTTTTACAACAATTAGACCCATTTTTTTCTCTTTAGCCAGAATCCAGAAAATTATTGACTGGCCTGCTGTCACTGAAGCTGGGCATTCTAGGAAAATATAAAAGAGCCAGAATATTGGGAGCCTATTAAACTGGAGACTAGTCAATTCAGGTCATACAGCATTTCTTTACAGAACTCAATTAAAATAATTTAGTTATCCTGATCACTGGTTTAGACAGTTTGAAAGTTAGGTACATTTCCAGAGATGGCTGCCTTCGTATGGTAATTCAATTAAACTGTCATGTTTGGAGAGGAAGAATGCCCCTGAACATCTCCATTCATAGCAAGAGGTTCCTTTGTGCCTTGCTTATGAGTTTCCCAGAATCTACTAGACCAGTGGTTTTCAACCTGTGAGTCCCCAGGTGTTTTGGCCTACAACTCCCAGAAATCCCAGCCAGTTTACCAGCTGTTAGGAGTTCTGGGAGTTGAAGGCCAAAACATCTGGGGACCTACAGGTTGAAAACCACTGTACTAGACTGATGTATTTTGGAAACAAAGCCAGACTACATAGATTCTTTGCCTAACCCAACAGCCTCTTGTCATGTTCTTTTAGAGCTAGATGGACTTTTGGTCTTACCCGGTATGACAATGCTTGTGCTCTCTATTCATCTCCCAGGGGAGAGATTATATTAGATAAATAGTTCCCAGTGGAACTGTGCTTCGTAAGGTGTTCCCAGATAAGAACTCTAGGAAGTAAGAACTGGTGACTAGCAATTTCAAAAGAGAGGGGGAAATAGTAATAGTGCGCAATGGGTTTTTTTCACCTGATGTTTGGAGCATGTTTAGTTCTGCAGTGTTGACATATTTAAGGGTGGATTATTATTCTTTAGGTATATTGGTGTGGATTGATTTTTGAAGCCTCACTTTCTACAGTTGTTATAGTAAAAACAGGTGTTTTTACTGGTGGGAATTCAAAGTCCATCAGTGGAGTCACAGCATGGAATCATACCACCAAGACCCATAGGATTATATCCATCATTAGTCTAGATGGGTCATAAACCAACGTGAACCAGATGATTTCACTTGTGACTGTAGAATCTCTCCTCTATAATAGATTAATTTCTATGGCCCCAATAGGGGTATAACTAGTCTGAAATTGGAGTCACTCTTAGATGAAGCCTGTGTTATTGTTAGCAGTATCAATGGATACTGCTACAAAAGCAAGAGGCTGATAGTTGGTGTGAATCCAGTCAATTGAATAAAGGGGGTGAAATCGGATCACCCTGCTACGTTTCCTGGATTCACACTGAAATAAAGACAGACCTGTCCATACTGTGCATGAGATGCCAATTATTTCCTTGTTCCGTCTTGCTTTTTATTTTTCTGCAAGATTATTGCAGGACGAGTAATCCTTGCCAGTTAACAGCTTAACTTTTCTTTCACAGGTATAAAAAGCTTATTTAAATTTCGAGTGTTGCAATTCCTTTTCTGAATTAAATGCTAGAATTTATTTTTGGTAATACTCTACATCTGGGAAGCCTTGTAACTTGACATGGTTATAAAAAGACTTTTACAAGGACGAGATAAGGACTTAGATTCATAGTACACTGCAAAAAAGAACCCTGATCCAATATATTCAGGTTTCATTCACACAAACACTGATCTGTCCAAGGAATAAATGCCACCTGTCAATTGGACTTTGGAAATGCAGGATCGAGGGGCAATCTTCCTAAGGAACAAGTCCCACAGAGCAAAATGGAACATATTTTCAACATAAGCATTAATCAAATTACACCAGGGATACAATTTTCCCACTGATTACATTATAAAATAAAGCAATGACTAATTGTAGCATTTTTCATCCCACGGTGAGAAAGTCTTTGGAAAGAGTAGCATTTTTGAAGGCTATTCATAACTGTGGACTTTTTCTGTGTGTGTGTATGTATGTGCATCTCGCCTGTAGGGATGCAATGGGATATTGAAGCACACTGGAGACAGAGGCTCCTTCTACACTGTTATATAATCCAGATTATCAAAGCAGATGATCCACATTATCTGCTTTGAGTGGGATTATATGAGTCTACAATGCAATATAATCCGGTTCAAAGCAGATAATCTGGATTGTATATCGCAGTGTAGAAGGAGCCTAGAAGGGACCAGAGAAAGAAATTAATAGTTTACACATTCATGTATTGAATCCACTTTATTTCTGATTAAATAGTCTATGAGTTTATTCTAGGAAATTCTTTCTCCCAGTTAGTTTCACAGGTGTTACAATATACTTAGGCACAGAGAAAAGAATATGAAAGGAAGTCAGATCAAAGCCTGAAATGCAATGCCTAAAACTGCAGGCCTAACCCTGAGAGCTAACAACCCACTCTTTATATATCTGACAATTGCAGCAAAAATAATTAAATTAACATCACTTGCATTCGTCTGATCTCAAACATGAACTTTTCATACTTCGATTAACTCATAATTTTGTCACTTCATCTTATTTCCTGGGCTCTGGATATCCAAGTGTTATTTCTTTCACACTTATTTGCTTTTAAAGCATTTCAGATCAATGGCAATCCTAAAACAACTCTATTAAGGGGTTTTCCTGACAGAATTTGTTTAGAGGGGCCTTGCTCTTGCTTTCCTTCAGTGCTGAGAGAGTATAACTTCCCAAGGTCACCCAGTAGGTTTCTGTGGTCCTAGTCCAACACCCAAATCACTGCAACACAGACAAAAATCTAATTGGGTTGTTGTAGGTTTTTCCAGGCTATATGGCCATGTTCTGGAGGCAATTTTTCTCCTATGGCCATATAGCCCGGAAAAACCTACAACAACCCAGTGATCCTGGCCATGAAAGCCTTCGACAATACAAAAATCTAATTCTGCTTACTTATTGTGCTGCAAAGTGTTAGCACCTTTTGTTGTTGGTTTTTTTAAAAAATAGATGCTATTACAATGAGTGCGCATTTACGTGGTA